AGACATTTTGTAGGTACTGGATATGTGAAGATGAATAGCACATGGCCTCCACCCTTAAATTATTACTTAGGGCCAGGCGTGGTGGCTCACACTTGTAATCCCAGCACTTTGGGAGGCTGAGGCCAGCAGATCACAAGGTCAGGAGATCGAGACCATCCTAGCCAATATGGTGAAATCCTGTCTGTACTAAAAATACAAAAAAATTAGCTGGGCGTGGTAGTACATGCCTGTAGTCTCAGTTACTCGGGAGGCTGAGGCAGGAGAATTGCTTGAACTCAGGAGGCAGAGATTGCAATGAGCCGAGATCGTGTCACTCCACTACAGCCTGAGTGACAGTGCGAGACTGTCTCAAAAAAAAAAAATTAAGACGGATGAGATAGAAATATATGCTAAAAGTATATGGATGGTAACAATTAGGCAAAAAGGGGGAATAGTCTTTTCTGCTTTGGGATATGGGAATGCCTGTAAAAGCTTATTAGAGCAGGTGATTTTTGAGAAGGAGTTGTTCACTGTGTAGCTGCAGATGGGCTGGGGCATAGGGGTGGCAAGAATGCTCAGCCTAGTCAGAATATCATTGCCAGTGTCATAGAGGACTGAGATGGTGATATTACAAATGCCTTAGTATGGGTAATGGGAAGGATGTGTGTGGAGTGGGAGGAGAAGATGCTAGAGAAGTTGTCAGCAAAGGTTTAACTTTATCCAAAAGATTCTTAAATGAGTAATTAATATTAATAAAATTAGGGGAAGATTATCTGGTAGGTAGAAGGTGACAAGATTCTAGTAAGAGATATCAGTTTGCAGATGTTAAAGTAATCAAGCTGGAAATGACACGGGCCCAAAGTCTCAAACTAAGTGACGAAAAATCAAAATGGAAATTAGGAGACGAAAAGATGAATTAGAAACAAAGCACATGACTGATTTTGTGTGCGTGGTAAAGGAGAGGAAAGCATCAGGATGACTTCCAGATAATATGTCTTGAAGAATTTTCGAAAATTCTAGTGCCGTTTGAGGAGAAGCTGTTTTAAAAGGAATCAATAATTAGTTTACTGTTTGAACTTGCTGAGTTTGAGCTGGTGAAAGATATCCAGAAAGATGTATTCTGTAGGCATTTGGATCTAGAACTACAAAAAAGGGTTTATAGTTAAGAATTGAGAGTCATCAGGATTGAATTGTTTGAAACTGTGGAAATAGATAGGATAATCTAGGAATTCAAGAAGAAAACTATTGTGGTGGCTTACACTGTTCATTCTAGCACTTTGGGAGGCTGAGGGGGTATCACTTGAGCCCAGGAGTTTGAGACAAGCTTGGGCAACATGATGAAACCCTGTCTCTACAAAAAATACAAAGATTATCTGGGTGTGGTGATGCATGCCTATAGTCCCAGCTGCTCAGGAGGCTGAGGTGGGAGAATTATCTGAGTCCAGGAAGTTGGGGTTGCAGTGAGCCATAATTACTCCACTGCACTCCAACCTGGGTGACAAAGGGAGACCCTGTCTCACAAAAGAAAAAAAAAAGAAGAAGGTATTAAGGACAGAGGATGAACATTTTGGAAGTGGGTCTGAAAGAAGCATTGGTAAAAAAAGACTCAAGAGGGAATGGTCTGAAAAGAATCCACTGAGTTTGTCAGTTAGATGTTGGTGACTATTGTTAAGGCAGTTTCAGTGGTGTGTTAGGAGTAGGACCCAAATTACAGACTAATTCTGTATTGTATTACTGGTATTTATGAATAGAATTATACCTTTAAGTATATTAAGGCTGGGCGCAGTGGCTCATGCCTGTAATCCTAGTACTTTGGGAGGCTCAGGTGGGAAGATCACCTGAGGTCAGGAGACTAGCCTGATCAACATGGAGAAACCCCTTCTCTACTAAAAATACAAAATTAGCCTGGTGTGGTGGCGCATGCCTGTAATCCCAGCCACCCAGGAGGCTGAGGCAGGAGAATCGCTTGAACCCGTGAGGCTGAGGTTGCTCTCCAGCCTGGGCAACAAGAGCGAAACTCTGATTCAAAAAAAAAAGGAAAAGAAAAAATATTATATTAAAATTAAAAACATGATATATATGAATTTAGAGAATTAGATAACCAGCTCTCATGTGCCTACTCTAGTTTTTTTAACTTTTTTTTTTTTTTTTTTTGAGACGGAGTTTTTTGCTCTTGTTACCCAGGCTGGAGTGCAATGGCTCGATCTCGGCTCACCGCAACCTCCGCCTCCTGGGTTCAGGCAATTCTCCTGCCTCAGCCTCCTGAGTAGCTGGGATTACAGGCACGTGCCACCATGCCCAGCTAATTTTTTGTATTTTTAGTTGAGACGGGGTTTCACCATGTTGACCGGGATGGTCTTGATCTCTTGACCTCGTGATTCACCCGCCTCGGCCTCCCAAAGTGCTGGGATTACAGGCTTGAGCCACCGCGCCCGGCTAACTTTTTAATTTTTAAATAATTATAGACTCACAGGAAGTTGCAAAGATAGTACAGAGATATCCTCCTATATTGACTTCACTCAGCTTCCTCCAGTCACCATTCAGTTTAACAAGTGTCTTGGGTTAGTTCAATTGTTAAATGTCTTGGGATGGCTTATGGAACCATACAGGGAGTATGGATTTGGATTCTATACCCCTATCTGGTGCAAGCCTGGGGTTTTCTCTCATAGGTGCCTCCTCTCCTGCCTCCATGAGGAGCAGAGCAGATGAAGGCTGCTTTGCTGTTTCTCAGAATGTATGGGTGGAACTTTTCCAGCTCCTTTTTTTCATACTGGGGAGCTCTTTTCAGGATTTTGGCTCAAAATAGGGATTTCACTTGTAGCTCTCCCTTGAAATAAGCACAAAGGTGGATCTTCTGGGTCTATAGGTCCAGTATACCAGTATAGACTGCTTTGGTGCTAAGATGACATCTCTGGCTTTGAGTTTCTTCCTTTTTTGCACCAGGAATTTCCCTCTCCCTGCTTTTCTCTCCCCTTTGGAGTTTAGCTGTGTATTCTTTTTTTTTTTTTTTTTTTGAGACTGGAGTTTCGCCCTTGTTACCCAGGCTGGAGTGCAATGGCACGATCTCGGCTCACCGCAACCTCCGCCTCCTGGGCTCAGGCAATTCTCCTGCCTCAGCCTCCTGAGTAGCTGGGATTACAGGCACGTGCCACCATGCCCAGCTAATTTTTTGCACTTTTAGTAGAGACGGGGTTTCATCATGTTGCCCAGGATGGTCTCGATCTCTTGACCTCGTGATCCACCCGCCTCGGCCTCCCAAAGTGCTGGGATTACAGGCTTGAGCCACCGCGCCCGGCTTTAGCTGTGTATTCTAATTTTTCATATTGATCTAGTATTTCAGTGATACTGTTTGGTCATGTGGATGTCTTAATTCAGTCTGCCTTGTTGCTTGAATCAGAAGTCCAGTAAAGCATTTTTTCTAATAAAATATTTATTAATTTTATTCTCTGCTTTGTTCCACAAAATTGATTTGAGGTTGGATTATATTATTCTTTCTTTAAAAATAGATTTCTTATTTATTTATTTTGAGATGGAGTGTCACTCTGTTGCCCAGGCTGGAGTGCAGTGGTGTCATCTCGGCTCCTTGCAATCTCTGTCCCGCAGGTTCAAGTGATTCTCTTGCCTCAGCCTCCTGAGTAGCTGGGATTACAGACACGTGCCACCATGCTTGGCTAATTTTTGTATTTTTAGTAGAGACAGGGTTTCACCATGTTGGTCAGTCTAGTCTCAAACTCCTGACCTCGTGATCTGCCCTCCTCAACCTCCCAAAGTACTGGGATTACAGGCATAAGCCACCATGCCCACCCCAAACTATTATTTATTTTTAAAATGGGTAATATATGCATGTTGTCTGAAATTAAAAAATTTTAAAAAAGAGTATCCTTTTTTTTTTTTCTTTTTTTTCCCTATTCCCCTAACTACCTCATCCCAGTATCTCTTTATAGATACAACCAGTTACCACTTACTTTTTTTTTTTTTTTAGTAGAGACAAGGTTTCTCCATGTTGGTCAGGCTGGTCTCGAAATGCCGACCTCAGATGATCCGCCCGCCTCAGCCTCCCAAAGTGCTGGAATTGCAGGCATGAGCCACCACGCCCGGCCTTCTAGAAGTTAACAATGCACTAGTTTATTCTTTAACAGAAGTTTTAAACTTTAGTGTTTATAATTTATTTTTTCTCTTTATTTTTATTACCCAGAAGATTTAGAATTGATATAGTTTAATTTTGTAGTCAATATTCAGGATTTTTTCTATGTGTTTGAGAAGTAGGAATTGTATTTTCTTTTGCTTTGAGAGTTTTTGAGTTACAGCTTTACACTAGTTATGTGTTACATGTATGTTTTTATATTTGTGAATGAATTATCTATGTTTTAATTTTTGTTCACAAACTCCTCAGAATGTGACAAAGTGTTGATTAGGATGTTTTAAGTTATGTGGGATATTAAAATGAAACATTAGCTCTAAATTTTTTTTTAATTGACACATAATAACTATACATATTTATGGGATACAGGGTGATATTTGAATACATGTGTACCATGTATAGATCAAATCAGGGTAACTGGCATATCCATCACCTCAAACATTGATCATTTCTTACTGTTGAGAACATACAAATCCTCTATTAAAACTAATGGAACTCTCCATGAGTTTGCATGTTATTTTTGCTCAGGAGCCATGCTAATTTTCTCTGTATCGTTTCAGTTTTAGTGTATGTGCTCCCGAAGTGAGCACTGGCCCTAATTTTTAGGAAGTAGTGGAAATGATATTTTAAGATACTAGAAATCTTATTGAAACACATTGTAGCTATTCTTAAAAATTGTCCTGATTACCAATCAATCCATATACATATATGCAAACAATTGCCCAAAGAAATGAGGGGGTCTGTCAAAGATAAAGCCTTCTCCTTTGGTTTCCTTAGCCACAGTTTATACCATTGACTACCTAACTGCAGCTTGGTGTGAAATTCAGTAACATGGAAACAAGAAATGGAAGCCTATGACCTAATATGTTTTCTTCCTTAGATCAACCTCTCCACTTCTCCTACACCTGCACAGTTAATAAGCCGTTCCCAGGCTTCCAGTTCTACCAGCGGCAGTATTACCCAACAGACTATGTTACTAGGGAGTACTTCCCCTACCCTAACGGCAAGCCAAGCTCAAATGTATCTCCGAGCTCAAATGGTAAGATACGAGCTACCAAATTTTTTCAGTGTTTAAGGACTTGAGAGATCAAAATGTTTCTTGATTTGATACAATAAGAGGTATTTTTAATATTTAAGAAATGTTTGTGTGTGTGCATGTGGGTGCGCCTTCAGCTCTTGTACATTTATGTCATGAAAGATTCTACGTTTAATAGGTCTTTTGGTATCAAATAGTAATTATCAACATTGGGAAACTAATAGAGTCAATATCAAGAGTGATTTTTTTTTAATCGAAAACAAACCTTTTTTTTCATATTTTAACATCTCTGAAATTGGGATGCATTTTATAACTATTGGCAACTTGGTACTTACAGTGGTTCATAAAATCATTATTTTTCACAACTTAGATTTGGTGAAATAGAAATGTTAAAAAACTTGGTTGTTAAAACACGTTAGAATTTGTGTCGTGGGATTTTCTAAAGTCTATATTGGAGTTCCTGATAGTTTCCCAGATGATTCTTAGCTTTGGTTATTTCTGTCTCAAATTCTGCAATATTATTTATGTTCTTCTGTTTATTTTGATCTTTTATGAATATAGTAGTGGTAATTTGGTTATTCTGTATTTGAGTATTTACTGATTTCCTAATTTAATTGTTAAGCTTAAGGAATATAGAAATTGGTTGACATGTATTTTATTTGATGTCTTTACAAGAAGCTAGACAAACGCATTGTCCTTAATATATATTTATATTCTTTTTTGTCCAGTAGACTGATATATCTACATCTTCAGTTTTCTATCTAAAATTGCAAAGAAAGTTTCCAGTCATTTACGCTTTAAAATTAGATTGAACCATTTGAAATGGTTGCTATTTGACCACTTTTGAACTCTAAAATTAGCAGTTTCATACAGGTCACACTAAATGGAATATCCTCTTTTTAGATTTAGTCCTTTCAGGGTATTGTTACTGGAAATTATCTTTTCAGGAAAGTTATGCCAGTTGTCCCTTGGTGTCTGTGGTGGATTGTTGCAAGGCTCATCCTCTCTGTCCCCTAGAATACTCAAATCTGAGGATGGGATGCTCAAGGCATAGTATTTGCATTGAACCTATGCATATCCTTTCATATACTTTAAATCATCTCTACGTATAATAATATAATGTAAACATCATTTAAATAGTTGTTATATTGTTTAGTGAGTAATGACGAGAAAAGTTTGTACATGTTCAGTACAGATAGAGCTATCCTTTTTTTTTAAATGAGTATTTTTTTTGTCTGCAGTTGCTTGAACAAACCCACAGATATGGAAAGCTCATTGTACTTCGTGGTTTAATTTACTTAAATTTAGTGTACTGAAGAACTGAAGTTTAAAAGTTCACTTAATTGGTCTTTTATTTTTCTAATTTAAAAAAAATCTTTGGTTGAATATTTCAACTTAGATAGCAAGAGGAACTGAATAACCCTTGATACAATTTTGAAATAAAGTGTTTACACATTCTTTGAAACAACTGTCAAATTTATTAAATTGAATTAGATAATCTCTGGATTGTATTGCCTTAGAAATTAATGGCATTTATTTCAGTATTGAAAAAAATTGAGCAGGGCATGGTGGCTCATGCCTGTACTCCTAGCACTTTGGGAGGCTGAGGTGGGCAGATCACTTGAAGTCAGGAATTTGAAGCCAGCCTGGCCAGCATGATGAAACCCTGTCTCTACTAATAGTATAAAAATTAGCTGGACATTGTGGCACATGCTGTAATCCCAACTACTCAGGAAGCTGAGGCAGGAGAATCACTTGAACCTGGGAGGCAGAGGTTGCAGTGAGCCAAGATCACATCACTGCACTCTAGCCTGGGTGACAGAGTGAGACTCTGTCTCACCAAAAAAAAAAAAAAAAAATTTTTTTTTTTAAATAGGAAAGTGATGAGTAAAAAAGTTAAATGTCTTTTTGTTTTTTGATGTGAAGCTTTTTTTTGTAGGCTCTTTTGTTTAATTTTGACAGGTGTGGCATTTACTTTTAGAATGAATATTTCTTTTTTTTCTTTTTTCTTTTTTCTTTTTTTTTTAAGGTAGTGTCTCGCTTTGTCGCCCAGGCCAGAGTTCACTGGCATGATCTCAGCCCACTGCAGCCTCCACCTCACGGGTTCAAGTGATTCTCCTCCCTCAGCCTCTCAAGTAGCTGGGATTACAGTCATGAGCCACCATGGCCAGCTAATTTTTGTATTTGTAGTAGAGATGGGGTTTCACCGTGTTGGCCAGGCTGATATTGAACTCCTGACCTCAAGTGATCCACCTGCCTGGGCCTTTAAAAGTGTTGGTATTACAGGTGTGAGCCACCACGCCTGGCCATAGAATGAATACTTTTTTACAAATAGTTTTAAAATGAAAAAGCAACCTAGATTTGTCCTATAGATCCTTTGTAGCTGGGTGAAATATTGGTGTATAGTATGTGGCATAGTTATCCTTAGGATGAAGAGGACTGAAAAGACTTTTTTGGTGTTTCTTTTTGTTTCTCACTGAAATTTAATTTGTGTCTCAAAATAGTGACTGTTGTTTACGTTAACTTTCCATTTTAGGAATCCTGCCGCAGTAGTTTTGAGCTAGGAAAAATTTAAGTATAATAGCTTATTTGAGATACAATTTGGTTTCAGAATTTCATATCACCAAAATACATTTTCTTTTTTGAGTACGGCTTTTTTTTTGCACTCATCAGAGTCATGAGCTGTTTTAAAAATGTTTGATTTTTTTTTTTTTAATTTCTCTATTATTAGAAACTTCTTTTTGTCCTGTAAAACCTTTTGCTGAGGAGATAATCCTAAACTGCATTGTCTTTCTGTCACAAATTTCAGTCTCCTTGCCTGCTACACATTGTGTGTGGGACATGTTCTTTTGTCTTAGGGTATTTTTTTGGTTTTCTGTCTGTACAGCTGATTTTCACACCTGCTACCACTGTGGCTGCTGTACAGTCTGACATTCCTGTTGTCTCGTCGTCATCGTCATCTTCCTGTCAGTCTGCAGCTACTCAGGTGAGCTTGTCTAGCTTCATAATGTGTTATTTGAGATCTGCATCTTCAGGTTAAAGTTAAGCATTGCATCTGTGTTTAAGTTACTACTGATGGTTTTGGTGCTCCTTGTCATGCATTTTAGATTGAAACTTAATAAAATACAATGAGAATTAAAGAAAATGTTTTTTGTTCTGTAGAATTATATACCATTAAACACAGATATTTAGATTATCTGACATTGGTTAGTCAAGGTTAATGAGAGTTTTTGTTAATGACTTTCTCTTCATAAAGCAGATTTATTTCTCATCATGTGAGATATATTATTTTGCTTACAGTGTTCCTTATGTAATAACTAAGTCCAGATGGATTTTAAGTTTGAAAATAAATTAGACAAATTTTAAATTTTAAAAATTGGTCAAGTGCAGTGGCTTATGCCTGTAATCCCAGCACTTTTTGGAGGCCCAGGCAGGAGGATTGCTTGAGCTTAGGCATTAAAGGCCGGCCTGGACAAAACAGCAAGACCTGGTATTGACTAAAAATAAAAAAAATTAGCTGGGCGTGGTGCTATGTGGCTATATCTAGCTTTTCAGGAGGCTGAGGTAGGAGGATTGGTTGAGCCTGGGAGATTGAGGCTACAATGAACTATGATAGTGCTACTGCATTCCACTCTGGGTGACACAGTGAGATTAATCATTACAGAAATGCAAATCAAAATGACAGTATCACCATACATTCACTAGAATGGCTGAAATGAAGAAGACTGCTAATACTATATATTGGTGAGAATGTGGAGCATCCAGACTCTCATACATTACTGGTGAGAATGTAAAATGGTAAAACCACACTTTGGAAAACAGTTCCTTATAGAGTGGAAACATAACATGTGACTCAGCAGTTCTCCTTAAGTTTACCCTGAGAGAGATGAAAACATTCATAAAGACGTGTTAAGTGTTTATAGCAGTGGTACTCAGAATAACCACAAACTGAAAACAACCAAATGTCCTTTAACTGCTGAGTAGATAAACAAATTGTAGCCGGGCACGGTGGCTCACGCCTGTAATCCCAGCACTTTGGGAGGCCGAGGCGGGTGGATCATGAGGTCAACAGATCGAGACCATTCTGGTCAACGTGGTGAAACCCTGTCTCTACTAAAAATACAAAAAAAAAAAAATTAGCTGGGCATGGTGGCGCACACCTGTAATCCCAGCTACTCGGGAGGCTGAGGCAGGAGAATTGCTTGAACCCAGGAGGCAGAGGTTGCGGTGAGCCGAGATTGCGCCATTGCACTCCAGCCTGGGTAACAAGAGCGAAACTCTGTCTCAAAAATAAATAAATAAATAAATAAATAAATAAAATAAAAAACAAATTGTGGTATATTATTTTTTATTTTATTTTTTCCCCATGCACCCCAATTTTAATATATTCTTATGGTAGAATACTGCTCAGAAATAAAAGAATGAACTATGGATGAATCTCAAAAAGATGTTTAGCAAAAGAACCTTGGTATAAGGAATACATACTCTGTGATTCCATTATGTGAAATCCTAGAACAGGCAAAGCTATAGTGGAAAAAAAAAAAATTAAATTAGTGGTATATGGGGTAGAAAGTAGGCAGAGATTGATTGGGAAGGGGCATGAGTGAACTTACATGGTTAAGGCGATGTTCTGTATCTTGGTTAGGGTAGTGATTATATGGTATATACATATGTCAAAACTCATTGTAATATTCTTTATTGTATGTAAGTTACACTTCAATAAATTTGACAAGAATAGATTAGAGTGAGTACATTTTAAATGAAAACAATTGAGTTAGATATACATATGTAAAAACTCATTGTAATATTATTTATTGTATGTAAGTTACACCTCAATAAATTTGACAAGAATGGATTAGAGTACATTTTAAATGAAAACAATTGAGTTAGAATGTTACTTTGTATGATACTGCTGTATTTTGGTGTTCTGCATAATAAACATTTTAGACTGCATATGGCAGAGATTGATATTTTAGGGTCATCTTTAGCCTCTTATATTTAATATAATTCCCTGTCTTCTGGTTAAAAAAAAAAAATGAGATGATAATTTCTTTGATATTTTTGATAAAATATGTATTATTTCATTTACAAATAAAGGCTGATTTTCATGTATTAATTTATAAAGATGATGGTCATTTACATTCAGATTTCTCCTAACTTGCCCTGCGATTTTCCATAGTTTCTTTTTTTTCTTTCTTTCTTTCTTTTTTTTTTGAGACGGAATATCGCTCTGTTGCCCAGGCTGGAGTGCAATGGTATGATGTCGGCTCACTGCAACCTTCACCTCCTGGGTTCAAGCACTTCACCTCAGCCTCCCGAGTAGCTGGGACTACAGGCACATGCCACCATGCCCCTCTAATTTTGGTATTTTTAGTAGAGACAGGGTTTTACCATATTGGTCAGGCTAATCTAGAACTCTTGACCTCAGGCAGTCCAGCTGCCTTGGGCTCCCAAAGTGCTGGGATTACAGGCATGAGCCACCATGCTTGGCCGATTCTTCACAGTTTCTTAACTTTATTGGACTTTATTTTCCCCATATTTACAAAATAAGAACTTTATCTTTGTTAACTTGTAAGATTTTTTTAGCTCTAAACTTTTATGTCTCTGTGGAATGAATTTGTTGAACTAATTATCTTCTTTTTAAATCAATTAATCTTAAGTAATTAATTAATTAAATTTTTGAGATAGGGTCCCACTGTATTGCCCAGGCTGGAGTACAGTGGCTCAATCATGGTTCATTGCAGCCTTCACCTCCCTGGGCTCAAGCCATTCTCCCACCTCAGCCTCCTGAGTAGCTGGGATTACAGGTATGTGCCACCACACCTGGCTAATCTTTGTGTTTTTTTTGTAGAGTCAAGGTTTTGCCATGTTGCACAGGCTGGTCCTGAACTCCTGAGCTCAAGTGATCTGCCTGCTTTCGGATTACAGGTGTGAGCCACTGTGCCAGCCTGAAATAATGATCATCTTTTCTTGTGTTTTGGTTTTATGAAACCTAATTATTAGGATGTTTTCTCCTAATAGAACTAGACCATCATCAACTTCCAACATTTTAAATTTTATTTTTTCATTTATATTTGACATTGTTCCAACTAAGATTTTAATTCCTTTACAAGATGCATGGAATAAAATGTAAGTTGGAAGCATGTAAAAAAAAAAAAAAAGATACAAATGAAACTATTTCCTAGCATGGAGCTAGGAGTGAAGTTGCTGCTCAGCTTACCTGTGTGAAGTTTTGTGTGGCCTTAAGTTAAGCTCCTACTTCAGTCATTTATTGTATGATGTGGACAAGTTGCCAAACGTCTCTAATATTCATTCATATTTATAGGGTAAAAGGATAAGTAATATGTATCTTTAGTGTGTAAAACATTACAGGCACTCAGTAAGTAGTTTTGTTTTTTGCAGAAGTTGGGGATAGGAAGACTTGGATTCAAATTCTCACTTTAGCACCAATATTTGCCAGCAGACTGATTTTGGCCAAGTTCATAGTAGTATAGCATAGTGTTTATAATACGGACTTTGGAGCCAGAATCTCTGGGTTCAAATACTTGCTCTACCATTAAGTCCTTAACATCTTCACCTCAGTGTCAATTATGTAAAATAAAATAACATTTATAATCTAATATTTCATAAGGTTTCTGTCAGGGTTAAATATGTTAATAAATTGAAATAGAAGTGTCTGATAACGTGTACTACTAAATGTTTCATTTACTGAATTGTTTCATTTATTCTTTAAAACAACTCATCTCTACTGTCGGAGCTGTTACTTGTGGCTCAGAGTTGTTATAAGGAGTAAGTGAAACAATAAAGTACTTAACATAGTGCCTGCCACAAGTAAGATATCACAGGCTACTAATTACTATTTTTGTTATGCATTGTCTGAAATGAGTCACAAAGTTGGTTCTTAGCTTTCAGGTAACTAACAGTGAAGGGAGAAAAGCAACTGCTTAAAGAATTTATAGGCCAGGCAAGGTGGCTCATACCTGTAATCTTAGCTCTTTGGGAGGCAGAGGCTGGCGGATTGCTTGAGCACAGGAGTTCAAGACCAGCCCGGTCAACATGGCAAACCCCCGTCTCTAAAAAAAAATACAAAAATTTGCAGGATGTGGTGGTGTGGGCCTGTAGTCCCACCTACTTGGGGGGCTGAGGTGGGAGGATCACTTGAGCCCAGAAGGTTGAGGTTGCAGTGAGCCAAGATCGAGCTGTTGCATTCTAACGTGGATGACAAAGTGAGACCCTGTCTCAAAAAATAAAAAATAAAAAGAATTTATAGTTTCCAAGGTAAAACTAACAAACCCACCTGCTTAGGAAAACACAGCTGATTTGAACATGTTCTGAGAGTACAATTTGTCTTGCTGGTACTGATGAAGAAGACATCTTACTTCATCTTATAAGGGTATCTTTAATGTGAGTGGAGTCAAAATAATTTATAAAAGTGGTCTTTGGGGTTCAGACTGATGTGTTCTAGGTGTCAGCCTCTGTGATGATCTGATTTAATTCAGGGATAGACTTTTGAGGGGCTACAGGAATGGTTTGGCCTTTAGGAATTTCTCTGTAGATATTGTTTTTCTCCTCTGTGCTTTTGAAATGGCAGTGAGTGAGGCTGGCAGTGGTATGTGATGCTCCTACTTATACTTTCTAGTGATAACTTTCCTCAAGTTCAAGACTGTTAGGTTAGTTTTTGAAAATTTCTGCTTAACTTTGTTGAGTTTTAAAATCATTTGCAGTTAAAAAATTATTTGTAATTGTGAAATACCAAATCTGAAGTTGTATTTTAATACTCTTTAAGCTATAAAAGTCGATTATTTTTCCTTAGTATTAAATTTTTTTTTTTTTTTTTTTTTTTTTTTTGAGACAGAGTTTCGCTCTTGTTACCCAGGCTGGAGTGCAATGGCGCGATCTCGGCTCACCGCAACCTCCGCCTCCTGGGTTCAGGCAATTCTCCTGCCTCAGCCTCCTAGTATTAAATATTTTTATAGCATATTGTAAACAATGAGAAATTTGGAATATATCACTCTTACCATGTTAAATGCTCAATCCCTTCTCCCCACCGTACACATCCACACAAAAAAGATTTTTGGAAAGTTGTTTTAGGGCAAAGAGTGTGTTAAGAGATGAGCCAGGCGTGGTGGCTCACGCCTATAAATCCTAGCACTTTGGGAGGCCAAGGCAGGTGTATCACTTGAGGTCAGGAGTTCGAGACTAGCCTGGCTAACATGATGAAACTTCACCTCTACTAAAAATACAAAAATTAGCAGGGTGTAATGGTGGGTATCTGTAAGCAGCATAGCTAACTTGGAAGGCTGAGGCAGGAGAATCACTTGAATCCAGGAGGCACAGGTTGCAGTTAGCCGAGATCACACCACTGCACTCCAGCCTAGGCGACAGAACAAGCCTGTCTCAAGAAAAAAAGATGAGTAAGAAATCTGACCCAGAGGCTGGTGCAGTGGCTTAAGCCTGTAATCCCAGTACGTTAAGAGACCAAGGCGGCTGGATCGCTTGAGGTCAGAAGTTCCAGATGAACCTGGCCAACTCTACTAAAAATACAAAAATTAACCAGATATGGTGGCATACGCCTGTAGTCCCAGTTATTCAGGCGGCTGAGGCAGGAGAATTGCTTGAATCTGGGAGGCAGAGGTTGCAGTGAGCTGAGATCGCACCACTGCCCTCCAGGCTGAGTGAGACTGTCTCAAAAAAAAAAAAAGAAAGGAATCTGACCCAGTAAATCCAAAGGATTGTTTCTTCCTCAATTCTAGGAGTATTTTCCAGATAGCCTACTGTGTAGTTACTCTTAGAATTGAGGAAAAAACCAACCCTTTGGATTTAAAAGCTAGAAACTCAGCTCTACTGCCGGCAATGTGACCCTTACTCTTAGGGATACTATGATAATTGCCATATTATTTGTTAGATTTCAGTTAAATAATTGATGTGAGAATATTTTGGCAGGGAAGCCCTCTATAACAATATAAGATGCAAAATTAGCAAAAATAACTCATGCGAAATGTAGACTTTTTCAAAAGTGAGAGTTTTCATAACTTGATCAAAGGAAAGGTTCGGATGAAATGAATGTGGGACATCAGAGTGCCCTAATAGTCTTCATTTTAGACAGGATGGGTTTTCTTTCAAAAAGGAAGCTTTGTCAAGGAAATCTGTATATGTGATCTTTCCACTAACAGCAACATTGACTTTGTAGTCTACTTTGGCAGTGTAGCTTTCATGTTTGGAATTTATTTAAACCATGTCAACATTTAAGTCAAAATGATCATAAGATATAGCCATATTTTAAAATTTATATGTTCACATAAATATATATATACAATATAGTGTAAGTATATACACATTTTCTTTCAGAATTCCAGAAAACAGGAAAATTAAAAACAAAAAGTATATTATTGTATAGAAATGGATATGCTGCAGGTTTTAGGGTTGTGTCAAATCCTCATTTACTGTGAATATACTTCTCATTTGAAGGAATGCTTTCAAGTTTTTCAGATTATTACTCTTTGGTTATCATTACTATGCAGTCTGCTTCATATGTCATTTGTGGCAAATGTTAATTTTGTCTTTCGCTTCCTGGAAGATTTTAATGTGCCTCCACTAGATACTTGTTGAGATGTTTTCAGTAAACATGAACAGATTTTAATGTTAGCCTAAGAACACCAAGAAGAGAACTAAGTGCTTACCAGAAAATTAGCCATGTAATACATATTTCAAAATGAGATACAGGAGAATACCTCAGACTTGTGAAGTTTCTATTAAACCTGCAGCACTGAACTGCAGGGAGTATAAAATTGAATGTTGAGATGAGAGTCTACTAGCGAGTCTCAGTATTACACAGATACACATACCTTTAATAATTCTCAGACAAGTTAGATATTTGTCAATGCTATAGGCCAGTATAGCCCAAATTCTATGGGAAAGTTGTTCTAGAAGAGAGGAAGAAACTCTTTCTAACCAGGGATTTTGGGAATGTTTCTTAGGGTAGAGCAAGTGGGATTTTACTGGGCTTTGAAGAATGGGTTGGGCTTCAAAAGAGAGCTTTGAGAAAAGGTGGCATTTAGGCAAGAGGTGCTTGAATAAGAGCTTCAGTTCCACTGAAGGTAGTGGAAGGTATATTTGGAGAATAACGAGCAGAACAGTTTGGCTGGAATACGAGAACTGTGAGCTGGAGGAATAGCAACTGGGGGCTTGAAGTGGTTTTGGCCTAGGTTGTGGAGGACTTCAAGTGGCAGTCTGAGAAATCTGGATTTTAGTTGTGTTTTTTTTGTTCTTTTTTTTTTTTTGAGATGGAGTCTCACTCTGTTTCCCAGGCTGGAGTGCAGTGGTACAATCTCGGCTCACTGCAGCCTCCACCATCCGGGTTCAAGTGATTCTCCTGTTTCAGCCTCCCGAGTAGCAGGGACTATAGGCACCTGCCACCACGCCTGGCTAATTTTTGTTTTTTTAGTGGAGACGGGGTTTCACCATATTGGCCAGACTGGGTTTGAACTCCTGACCTTGTGATCCACCTGCTTGGCCTCCCAAAGTGCTGGGATTACAGGCGTGAGCTACTGTGCCCCGCCGGTATATTTTGTTTTTGTATGAAACTTTAATAATATACCGGTTATTAGTCCATTTATGTTTACATTGGTATGAAATATTTGAGAAAAATCAGAGAAGATACTCCGTAAGATTTCACTTAGAAAATTCTTTGAGTAGCTTCGAATAGAACTGATGAAAACTTTGGCCTGAAGTATAGCGGTTTTTTGTTTGTTTTTTTTTTTGAGACAGAGTCTCACTCCGTTGCCCAGGTTAGGGGGGACAATGGCACAATATCTCAACTCACTGCAACCTCCACCTCTCAGGCCCAAGCAGTTTGTGCCTCGGCCTCCCGAGTAGCTGGAATTACAGGCATGCGCCACCATGCCAGTCTAATTTGTATATTTTTAGTAGAGATGGGTTCACCATGTTGGCAAGGCCGGTCTCAAACTCCTGGCCTGAAGTGGTCCACCCACCTTGGGCTCCCAAAATGCTGGAAGTATAGGTGTGGAATTACTGAGAAAGTATAGCTTTTTTTTTGGAGACAGACTCTCGTTCTGTTTCTCAGGCTGGAGTGCAGTGGCATGCTCTTGGCTCACTGCAACCTCTGCCTCCTAGATTCAAGTGATTCTCCTGCCTCAGCCTTCTGAGTAGCTGGAACTTCAGGCAAAGGCCACCATGGCTGGCTAGTTTTTGTATTTTTAGTAGAGACGAGGTGTTTTTTTTTTTTTTTTTTTTTTTTTTTTGAGACGGAGTTTCACTCTCATTACCCAGGCTGGAATGCAATGGCGCGATCTCGGCTCACCGCAACCTCCGCCTCCTGGGTTCAGGCAATTCTCCTGCCTCAGCCTCCTGAGTAGCTGGGATTACAGGCACGCGCCACCATGCCCAGCTAATTTTTTTTTTGTTTTTTTTTTTTTTTTTTAGTAGAGACAGGGTTTCACCATGTTGACCAGGATGGTCTTGATCTCTTGACCTTGTGATCCACCCGCCTCGTCCTCCCAAAGTGCTGGGATTACAGGCTTGAGCCACCGCGCCCGGCCAAGACGAGGTTTTTACCATGTTGGTTAGGTTGGTCTCACATTTGACCTCAGGTGATCCACCTGCCTTGGTCTCCCAAAGTGCTGGGAGAAAGTATAGATAGCTTTTTGAACATCAGTTAATGATGTAGAGACAGAACACATGAAACTGAAGAACATTTTATAAAACAGCACTATATCATTTGCTTTGTCATTTTGGAATCTCTTTTATTTCAGATTCTCTCCCAGGGCCAGTACTAGCCTACATATATTTGGTACATTCATTTTAGATAGGCAAGAAGTTCAGCAACTTTTGGAGAAGCATTTTCTGTCTTGTGTCTTGCTGTTTGGAAATGTTATAAATGTCAGGTGAGAGTAACTGGGATAATCCTTGCTACCATCCAGACTGGCAGTATGTTTCAAATAGCCCTGAGTGTAGCATGAACCACCACAGAGAGCCATTTCAGGTTCATGCACACTCTTTACAGTTCATCAGTTGCAGTTTTCAAAGACAGTGAATGTTCAATAACAACAGCAACACCAAAATTTTACTAAAAGTAGTTTTTTTGAAAATGTTTTTTGTAATTTTCACAGTGTGGCAGATGATTTGATGAATTAATTTTCTTACAAGGTTAATGTCCCCTTATAATCTCTATAGCTAGAACTGGTAACTTTTAATGCAGTTATGTTGCAGAGTAATTTCCTCATATTCATAGTTCATGCATATATAATGCACTGTTTATATATACATATAGTTTTTAGTTTTTTATGATCCTTCCCTTCTCTCCCTTCTCCTTCCTGTCCCCTCCCCCTTTCTTCCTCCCTTTTCCCCCCTTCTTCTTCCCTTTCTTTTTTCCCCCTTCCTCCCCTCTTTCTTTCTCTTAATGTATTTTTTTGTTTTGTTTTGTTTTTTTTTTTTTTTTTTTTTTTGAGACGGAGTTTCGCTCTTGTTACCCAGGCTGGAGTGCAATGGCGCGATCTCGGCTCACCGCAACCTCCGCCTCCTGGGTTCAGGCAATTCTCCTGCCTCAGCCTCCTGAGTAGCTGGGATTACAGGCATGTGCCACTATGCCCAGCTAATTTTTTTTATTTTTAGTAGAGACGGGGTTTCACCATGTTGACCAGGATGGTCTCGATCTCTTGACCTCGTGATCCACCCGCCTCGGCCTCCCAAAGTGCTGGGATTACAGGCGTGAGCCACCGCGCCTGGCTCATAATGTATTTTTAAAATTGCCACTTAATGTTTAAGATGTGATTACTTAGAAGAATTAACTCTCCTTAAGGATTAATCAGTTCTTTCAAGTACTTGGAGCTTTATGTATGAAAAGCATAATATAAATGTGTTGTCAGTATTGTAATAATGGTAATGATTACCACATCAATTAAAACCATCTGTTTTCATCCTAATTTTCTGTTATGTGGTTCTTAGGTTCAGAATTTAACATTACGCAGCCAGAAGTTGGGTGTATTATCTAGCTCACAGAATGGTCCACCAAAAAGCACTAGTCAAACTCAGTCATTGACAATTTGTCATAACAAAACAACAGTGACCAGTTCTAAAATCAGCCAACGAGATCCTTCTCCAGAAAGTAATAAGAAAGGAGAAAGCCCAAGTCTGGAATCACGAAGTACAGCTGTCACCCGGACATCAAGTATTCATCAGTTAATAGCACCAGGTAGGATAAAACTTTTGTTCAAAATAGTTGTATTCTTTTTCTTAGAGCAAAACAAAGGATGTTCATGACTTGAACAAGAGTGACACCTTTAAAATATTTTAAAATGTGGATTTTATAAATTAAATAATCTTAATATGTAGCTTGAAAAGAGACAAAAAAGCCCAAGAGCTAAAATAAATTGTAGCAATGTAATAGGTTTTTTAAATTAAATGACATTTGATTAACAGCTTTAAGTGCTGGTCTCTCCTTATGTTGATAAAACCTTTTAGCTTTAAAGAAAGATTTGCCTGTATTTTATTTAATATACTTTGGTGGGATAATTTTTAAAGCTTAAAAAAAAAGCAGTGTACTATTTTGTTTAAAGTTGTTATCATGGGAGAAATTTGTTACTTTGAAGCATAGGATTATGCTTCGAAGTTGTTGCCTTTTTCTATCTTTAGTTTCATCTCTGAGAGGATCATCTCAGGCAGTCACCTGAGTCATTGTCTTCCTCCTTAAGCTTTGAATTCTACCTGTGCTGCCTTTACTTTAACCAGATTATCTTACCTCATTTCGTATAGAAAATGTTGGGACCATCGAGAGTGAGCTTGCTGTCTCTTCTGTTCATCTCAGAATTTCTCAGAATTAAACTTTCTTTACTTTTAATAAGATAAAGAGTTACGTGTATTCTTAAACTCAGCACTGTTTGCCCCTGTTGTTGGTACCACTTTTTTTTTTATACCTCTCCTCACCTTCTTTAGTATGTAATTGTTACAACATCTTTTATCTTATGCTAGATCCTTTCCTCTGCTTCTCAGCTATAATTAGGTCTCCCTTATCCTTAATGGATCTGCATGTTTTTTAAAATCACTATAACTATAGCTTGTGTGTGTGTGTGTGTGTGTGTGTGTGTGTGTGTGTGTGTGTGTGTGTGTGTTGCACTGGGCTAGACACATAATAAATGGTTTCATTTAAAAAAAAAAAGAATCTGACTGGGTGGAGTGTCACTTTGGGAAGCACTTTGGGAAGCCAAGGTGGGTAGATCACTTGAGGTTAAGAGTTCGAGACCAGTCTGGCCAGTGTGGTGAAACCCTGTCTCTACTAAAAATACAAAAATTAGTGGGACATGGTGGTGTGCACCTGTAGTCCCAGCTACTTGGGAGGCTGAGGTATGAGAATTGCTTGAACCTAGGCAGTGGAGATTGCAGTGAGACGAGATCGCACCACTACACTCCTGCTTGGGCAACAGAGCAAGACTCTGTTTCAAAACAAACAAGCAAACAAACAAACTTTGTTCCAGCAACCTCATCAGGGAAGCATCCTTTTTCTGTCCTCTTTTTTTTTTTGAGACAGAGTTTTGCTCGTTACCCAGACTGGAGTGCAATGGCGCGATCTCGGCTCACCGCAACCTCCGCCTCCTGGGTTCAGGCAATTCTCCTGCCTCAGCCTCCTGAGTAGCTGGGATTACAGGCACGTGCCACCATGCCAAGCTAATTTTTTGTATTTTTAGTAGAGACGGGGTTTCACCATGTTGACCAGGATGGTCCCGATCTCTGGACCTTATGATCCACCCGCCTCGGCCTCCCAAAGTGCTGGGATTACAGGCGTGAGCCACCGCGCCCGGCTTCTGTCCTTTTATAATGTTGCTTTACTTTTCAAAGTCTTTTTTTTTTTTTTACACTTAGATGTAAGTGTAAAATATTCCACTTAAATTTATTTTCACTTTTCATGTTTCCTCTGTATTAATATTGCCAGCATTCTCTACATCACTGAATTTCAAAATTGTGGAATTGTTTGATTACCCTAGTTGGAAATTTCTCCTTACTCTGAAATTTTATAGCATTTTATGGTCCCTTCTGGTTCTTTTTCTTTTATAGTTATTTATATACTAGATGTTAGCTTCTCTGCTAGACAGTACGTTCCTTGAGGGTAGGATAATAATATTGAGCATTTATGTATGTGTGAGATACTATGCTAGTACTTTACATTGATTAACTCTTTAATTGTTTTTTAGATTCACCTTTACATCCTTCTGTCTTGACAGCACTAAGTTGTACCTTATATGTACTTACCTATATTAGGTGGGCAGTACATATTTGTTGGATTAATAGTTCTTTTTTTCCCATTTGGATTTTAGGAATTATAGCAGTCTTTCTTTTTTTTTTTTTTTTTTTTTGAGACGGAGTTTCGCTCTTGTTACCCAGGCTGGAGTGCAATGGCGTGATCTCGGCTCACCGCAACCTCCGCCTCCTGGGTTCAGGCAATTCTCCTGCCTCAGCCTCCTGAGTAGCTGGGATTACAGGCATGCGCCACCATGCCCAGCTAATTTTTTTGTATTTTTAGTAGAGACGGGGTTTCACCATGTTGACCGGGATGGTCTCGATCTCTTGACCTCGTGATCCACCCGCCTCGGCCTCCCAAAGTGCTGGGATTACAGGCTTGAGCCACCGCGCCGGGCCAGCAGTCTTTCTTATTGGTACTAATTAGATAATCACTGTGCTTAGAATTGTTAAATCTGAATCTTATTCAGATTTGGGCTTTGATATAATGTGTAAATTAATAAATCTATTCATAGTACAGTTCGACGTGAATTCTTTTTTTTAAACTGCTGTGCGCCAGGCTCTGCTCTCTGTATGGCTTAAAAGCTGGGTTTTTATACTACCATACAAGAGTATTGTCAGCCTCAAGCTAGCATTCAGCCAGTTTTGACAGTCAGTGTGGAGCAGCAGTGACCCACAGTGCTTAGAATGACTGGTCAGGGACAATTTCTGGTGATTACTGCAGTTTTTATAAATTACAATGAAGGGTAGGTTAATTTCTTTCTGCAGAGAATGTTACTTTCAGAGAAAGCTTGGAACTCTTTCAGGGTTAGTTCAAGCAAGGAGACCTACTTTTGGATTTTTTAGTCCCTCTTAACTCTCAGTACCTGGTTCTGAATAGCACCTTACTTTTTCATCTTTCATTAATAGTGTGATAATGTGTTTATAGTTTGCCTTCCTGTGATGATCAATATCTTATGTAAGTATGGAGGAAACCAGTAAGCCAAAACCACCAGAGTCTCAGGTCAAATTAATTCCAAATTCAGATCTTTGTATTACTTAAACTCTTGTTGTTTAGAAACAAAACCACACAGAAAATCCTAAACTACTTAAAAGTTTCTTAAGCCTGACACTGAAGTTATTCAAAGCCATTCATATCTTCTATTAAGGCTACAGCTGTATTTTTTCACCTTTTTAGTTTTTCTACTTTTATTGGTAAGAAGTTAATCTGAAGCTAAGATATTTTGAGAAACTCTGAATTGATAATTTGTCCTCAATTAAAAAATGCTCCTTCAGGTCATTCTAATGTAAAAAAAAAAAAAAAAATCTACTTTTATTCGAATGTAGTGTAGTCTAATAATTATTATAATGGACATGATTATTGTTATATGTATTTTTAGGTGCTAAAGTAACTTGGTTTTCTTTATCATTTCTTTTTGAAGGTGGAGTTTCCACTTGATACTTAGTAAATTCTGTTTTTAATACGTAAAATAAGGTCAAACTTTAAGTGTCTGGAAATAATTATGAAATAATTATTAGAGCTAAAGTTTTTAAATCAGTTTTTAGAACTTTTGTGAAACTGGTCTAATTGGAAAAAAAATACTGTTTTTTGTAGACATTAGTTCATTGTGTAGTGAGAAAGTCCTGTATTAATTAATCTGCTCCAGCTGCTGTAACAAAATACCATAGACTGTGGCTTAAAGAGCAGGAATTAATTTTCTCACAGTCCTGGAGGCTGGAAAACCCAAGATCAAGGTCTAGCAGTGTTCAGTTTCTGGTGAGGGCTCACTTCCTGTCTTGCAGATGTCCTCACATGGCCCTTCCTTTGCGTGTGTGGAGGGTGGAGGGAGCAGAAGCTCTCTGGTGTCTTTTCTTTTTTTTGTTTTTTGTTTTTTGAGACGAAGTTTCGCTCTTGTTACCCAGGCTGGAGTGCAATGGCGCGATCTCAGCTCACCGTAACCTCCGCTTCCTGGGTTCAGGCAATTCTCCTGCCTCAGCCTCCTGAGTAGCTGGGATTACAGGCACGCACCACCATGCCCAGCTAATTTTTTGTGTTTTTAGTAGAGACGGGGTTTCACCATGTTAACCAGGATGGTCTCGATCTCTTGACCTCGTGATTGACCCGCCTTGGCCTCCCAAAGTGCTGGGATTACAGGCTTGAGCCACCGTGCCCGGCTCGATGTCTTTTCTTAAAAGGATACAAACCATGTCATGTCTACCACCCTTATGACCTCATTTAACCTTTATTACTTCCTCTCATCTACAAAATACACATTGGGAATTAAAGCTTCAGCATATGAATTTTGTCCCACAAACACTCAGTTTATAACAGGGCCCTGGACTCAGTTAGGATCATAGATTCTTTTAGACCTAATGATGTGCTTAATAGCCAGATGATTTCAGGCAAGTCACTTAACTACTCAGAGTTTCTTCATCTGTAATATGTTGGATTGGCATGGTACCCTGTCAGAGTTTCTTCATCTGTAGTATGTTGGATTGGTATAGTACCCTGTCAACTTTATGGGGTTGTTGTAGTTACTGAATGAAATAATATGTGTTGTTATAAATAATAGGGTTATATATGTGTGAGAGATGATGTCAACCATTAATTCTCTGAATATAAAGCCACTGTGACAAAAAGATGTTTTTTAAAATCGGAGAAATTAACCAACATGATGGAACTTTTTTCCAGAGCACTAGGGCTTTTCTTTTACAGAGTTACTGCTTCACATATCCTCATAATTATTCTATAATATATGTGCTTATCAATTGGACTTATGGAGTAATATAAAATAAACACACATTGATTTCTGATATAGAAAAATGTAATTTAGATGAAAGGATAGATTACTCATCTATTGAATTGTCACAGCTCTAGGATATAAAAAGATTCCTTACTTGCTTGCTTACCAGAGCACAGAAATAATTGTTATTCTTTTTCTTTTTCTTTTTTTTTTTGATATGGAGTCTTGCTCTGATGCCTAAGCCCGGGCTGGAGTGCAGTGGTGCAATCTCAGCTCACTGCAACCTCCACATCCTGTGTTCAAATGCTCTATGAATTTTAATATAGCATTTTAATGATTTTGAAGTTATCTTTATATATGTTATACCTGAGTAGTAGCTGTGTTACAGGTGTGTGTTACCATGCCTAACTAATTTTTGTATTTTTAGTAGAGAAGGGGTTTCACCGTGTTGGCCATGCTGGTCTTGAACTTCTCACCTCAGGTGATCCTCCTGCCTCAGCCTCCCAAAGTGCTGGGATTATGGGCATGAGCCATCACGTCCAGCCAGAATTGCTATTCTAGTAGATATAATATCCATGGTACTTTAAGAGTATGGTAAATTTAAATTAAAACTTTACTTAAAAAATTGAATTAAAGTGGGCCTTTGCTAGTATGCTTGCAAAAAAATCTATTATCTGTAAGAGAGAGATAATACCTATACCATAGACATTTTGTAAGTATGAATGAAAGACCTGTGAAAGCCCTTTGAGCCCCTTGGTTGAAGGGCACTCTGTAGAAATGTAAGATTTTCTTAATTCACCCTTTGTGAATACTCTATAACATGAGTCTCTATCAACACAGTTTGAAAGGTCTGACATAAAATTTTTAGTCTTAGTGTGAAGTACTAGCCTAGGTATTATATGAAAATTATTTTGTTGACTTGATATCCTTTTTTTAGTAATTAGTGAATATTTATTGAACTTTCTAAATGCCTCTTGTTTGGATGTTAATCAGAGTTTAGTTTCTTTAAAGGATTCTAAAAATTTTAAATAATAACCAAATGTAAAAATGTTTTTTAAAAACGTTGGAAGTTTTTATAAAATTATTGTCACAAATGTGGCTGAACACAAAAAATAGATGTAAGGTATAATATAGTCTTTCTCCTAATATTCCAAGATTAGGGGGAAAAAAAATTGCCCGGTCTTTAAATCTGTGTTAAATATGTGTAATTTTTACGTGATATTAACATTAAGTGATTGTTTCAGTTCATCTTCTTGTGAACTCAGTTTCCATTCTTAGGGAGAATTTCACCAGTATCTCCCTTTATATAAACATGTACCACCACTTTACAGAAAAGGCGTAATGATGGGGGAGCTCCCTACCATTTGACTGTGCTGTTTCTTATATATATTTATTCCTGTTGAGAGTGGCTTCTTTGTGGAGAAAACCTGATACTGTCACATCAATTGTTGAAGGGTTTTTTTGGTGAGGGAAATGGGTTAACAAAATCCCTTATTTAGGTAGCATGGGCTTCTGATTGTCTCATTCTTTGCAAGCAAAACTAGTGTTTTTCTAGATTTAGAATAGCCCCGAAATTTCAGTTGTTAGTTACAGTGATTATTTAACTGTGCTACATGATTCACACATGTCTTTTGCTTAATCACATTAAATTATTATACAACACATTTTCTCTTCTGGGACAAATGGTGTTCCTTTCATCTCAGCTCAAAAATGGAAACTCGTTTGGGAAGCTTTATAAGTAATTACCTTGACTATTAGTTGGAAACATGTTTAGATGTGGACTAGAAAGGATGAGATCTTTATGAATTTTAATATAGCATTTTTATAATTTTGAAATTATCTTTATATATGTTATACTTGTTCTTTGATGATACTCTTTTCCTACAAAGAAGAAATTCAAGTGTATAAACTTTGCTAAAAGTTAATGTAGATATTCAGATTACTTATAAAATATTATAAGAACAAATCATGTATAGATTCAGATTATTCAATTTTAGGTAGTTTTCTTTTAGAGCTTACCACAGTTCAGTGCATTTTATGAAATTGTATAGTTTTCCAAGGAAAACCTGTTTGTCATTAAATTTTCAGGCTGGGCACCGTGGCTCACGCCTGTTATCCCAGCACATTGGGAGGCTGAGTTGGGTGGATCACTTGAGTTCAGGTTTCAAGACCAGCCTGGCCAATGTGATAAAATCCCATCTCACTAAAAACACAAAAATTAGCCAGGTGTAGTAGCGGGCACCTGTAATCCCAACTACTCAAGAGGCAAAGACAGGAGAATCACTTGAACCAGGGAGGTGGAGGTTGCAGTGAATTGAGATCATGCCACAGCACTCTAGCCTGGGTAATAAGAGCAAGACTGTCTCAAAAAAAGAAAAAAAAATTTTTTTTTTTTTTTCAAATTACTCTTGTCTGGAAAACTTGTAATAGAATTCTGATGATTATGACCTTCTGATATAAACACTTTTTCCTTTAGATTTATTGAAAAATTTCTATATGTTTGAAATCAATACTAATTGTCATTTTTTTCTCTCACAGCTTCATATTCTCCAATTCAGCCTCATTCTCTAATAAAACATCAGCAGATTCCTCTTCATTCACCACCTTCCAAAGTTTCCCATCATCAGCTGATATTACAACAGCAGCAACAGCAAATTCAGCCAATCACACTTCAGAATCCAACTCAAGACCCACCCCCATCCCAGCACTGTATACCACTCCAGAACCATGGCCTTCCTCCAGCTCCCAGTAATGCCCAATCACAGCATTGTTCACCAATTCAGAGTCATCCGCCTCCTTTAACAGTGTCTCCTAACCAGTCACAATCAGCACAGCAGTCTGTAGTGGTGTCTCCTCCACCACCTCATTCACCAAGTCAATCTCCTACTATAATTATTCATCCACAAGCACTTATTCAGCCACATCCTCTTGTGTCATCAGCTCTCCAGCCAGGGCCAAATTTGCAGCAGTCCACTACTAATCAGGTGCAACCTACAGCACAGTTGAATCTTCCATCTCATCTTCCACTTCCAACTTCCCCTGTTGTACACATTGGCCCAGTTCAACAGTCTGCCTTGGTATCCCCAGGCCAGCAAATTGTCTCTCCATCACACCAGCAATATTCAACCCTGCAGTCCTCTCCAATCCCAATTGCAAGTCCTCCACAGATGTCGACATCTCCTCCAGCTCAGATTCCACCACTGCCCTTGCAGTCTATGCAGTCTTTACAAGTGCAGCCTGAAATTCTGTCCCAGGGCCAGGTTTTGGTGCAGAATGCTTTGGTGTCAGAAGAGGAGCTTCCAGCCGCAGAAGCTTTGGTCCAGTTGCCATTTCAGACTCTTCCTCCTCCACAGACTGTTGCGGTAAACCTACAAGTGCAACCACCAGCACCTGTTGATCCACCAGTGGTAAGCCCTTGGAAGCTCTTTGACTTTCTTGCTGAACTGAAAGTAAAAACTATTTTTTTCCCCACACTATGTTTTATTGCAAGATCTAAATGCCTATGAACTAAAAAAGCTTGAAATTTCCATATGTCAGTGTTCTGACAAACATGCTGTATGGACAAAAAAAATGCCATTGTTTGTTTAGTATGGTTGCATGCTTTATAATTTGTGATGGTAATTAAAGTCCCTCGTTAATTTTATTACTATTTAAACAAATCCATCTGCTATCTTTACAGAGTTGATTTTTTTTCCCCAAGGGAATGCATTTGAACCAGTGTCATCTGCACAAAGTTTTTTCTCTTAAGGTGATTATCCTTCATAGATCCCTTCTGTTGGCTTGTATGTTCTCAAAACGTATGGTTTATCTAGCCTAACCCTTTTGGTTTTATGCATTCTGAAGTCCTGGACCTTTGGGGATTTTGTTTCAAGTTGGGATATGCTTATGTGATGTAATTTTTTGGTAAAATTATACTTTGAAGTTGAAATTTTGTAAAAAAAAATTTATTCTAGGAGAGAGTCGAGATTTGCCAAAAATTTCACTGTAGGCCATCTTATAGAATTATTAAACTTACAGTTTTTTATTTATACTAAGGGAAAATAATATACTTAAAATGTTTCTCACTTTAAAAGCTCAAAAATCTTGGTAGATGAATTTAATACTGAGGATGAAAAAATCCATTTAGAGGAGTAAAAGTTTTGAATAATTGAGGTTGTAGTGGGATTTTTAAGAATAAACCTCTGGAAACAATTACTTGTTGCCTAGAAAGAAAATTATCTTGAAAAATACTTTTCTTTAAACATTCTCTAAAATACATTTTAAGATCTGTAAAATAAAACTGAAATAAAGGTCTCTAATTGTTTAGTCAGAAGGGTCAAGTTCATAATTTGTAACTCAGGAGAATAATTTTCCTAAAGGGAGGTTTTGTATTACATTTAATTGAAGAGATTTTATCACCTAAAAGCTAATAAACGCTCAGAAAGGAGTTTCAAAGTATTCTTTATTGCTAATAATTGTTTTTTGTTTTCATACTTGAATTATCTTCATTGTTCTTTTAATGCAAAAGCATTTTGGTTTTCATAATACAAATATATAGATTTTTGTATTCTTGTCGTTCTAACTGATTTTAGTAGGCACAAAGAGATTGAATTCGGCCGGGCGCGGTGGCTCAAGCCTGTAATCCCAGCACTTTGGGAGGCCGAGGCGGGTGGATCACAAGGTCAGGAGATCGAGACCATCCCGGTCAACATGGTGAAACCCCGTCTCTACTAAAAATACAAAAAAAGTAGCTGGGCATGGTAGCATATGCCTGTAATCCAAGCTACTCAGGAGGCTGAGGCAGGAGAATTGCCTGAACCCAGGAGGCGGAGGTTGCGGTGAGCCGAGATCGCGCCATTGCACTCCAGCCTGGGTAACAAGAGCAAAACTCCGTCTCAGGAAAAAAAAAAAAAAAAGCCGGGCTTGGTGGCTCAAGCCTGTAATCCCAGCACTTTGGGAGGCTGAGGCGGGTGGATCACGAGGTCGAGAGATCGAGACCATCCTGGTCAACATGGTGAAACCCCATCTCTACTAAAGATACAAAAAATTAGCTGGGCATGGTGGCACGTGCCTGTAATCCCAGCTACTCAGGAGGCTGAGGCAGGAGAATTGCCTGAGCCCAGGAGGCGGAGGTTGCGGTGAGCCAAGATCGCGCCATTGCACTCCAGCCTGGGTATCAAGAGCGAAACTCCGTCTCAAAAAAAAAAAAAAAAAGAGATTGAATTCTATTTTCTATAAGTTTTTATTAAAAACAGAACTTGGCTGGGTGTGGTGGCTCACGCCTATAATCCCAGCACTTTGGGAGGCCGAGGTGGGCAGATCACCTGAGCTCAGGGAGTTTGACACCAGCCTGGCAAACATGGTGAAATCCTGCCTGTCTCCACAAAAATATACAAAAAGTACCTGGGCATCGTGGCCATGCCTGTAATCCCAGCTCCTTGGGAGGCTGAGGCAGGTGAATCACTTGAACCTGGGAGGCAGAGGTTTCAGTGAGCTGAGATTGTGGCCTGGGAGACTGAGCAAGATTCTGTCTCAAAAGGGAAAGCAAATTTTTTTAAAAGTTTATCATTTAGCTATGTATGTATTTTCTTTCAGTCGATTTTTGGAGTTTACAATGGATATTGTTACAAAAACATGTGTTTAGGAAGTATACAGTACCTTTACAAATTTTTTAAATTTAAATTACTTTCTCACTACCTAGTTCAGTGGTTTGGTTTTTAACCAGCAAAAAATATGGCAGTTTCCAGGCAGGGCATAATAGAAAAGAAAAAAAATACCGTTTAAAAACTAAAGCAAAAATAAGTTAAAAAAAAAAAACTTTATAGTCCTTATATTTTTTTAATTGTTTATGTTAGGGGAAGCTTTGGAGGAACAAATCTGGGACAGAAATAAAAGGCTGGGCATGGTGCCTCATGCCCATAATCCCAGCACTTTGGGAGGGCGAGGCAGGTGGATCACCTGAGGTCAGGAGTTCGAGACCAGCCTGGCCAACATGGGGAAATACCATCTCTACAAAAAATACAAAAATTAGCTGGGCATGGTGGCTAATGCCTGTAATCTCATCTACTTGAAAAGCTGAGGCACAAGAATGGCTTGAACCCGGGAGGCAGAGGTTTTGCTCTCCCTCACTTGCATGTGCGCATGCTCTCTGTCTGTCTCTCCATATATATGTGCGTGTATATGTGTGTATATATATACATATACATCATAGACATATATATATATCTATAGTATTAGCATAATGCTTTAAAAACTAAAACCAAAAATATTTTGTTGCTTCCTGCACTTCTACTTTAAAACAGTTTTGGAAGTTTAAAAAATGATTTAGTAACTTTCTCTGCTATCACTGATACGGTTATTATGCTTACTATGGATGTTTCCATGTTACCTTTCTAAATATTTTTTAATCTTTTACCTTTCTTTGAGTAATATAGCTCTTTTTATTAAACTTCTATTTTTTTTTATTAGCTTTGACCAAATGTGTTATTTTTTTTCCATGAAAACACATTTCTTCACAGTACTTTTCTGGTCGTTTCAAATACTTAAAGGTAGAAGGATATATATATATATATATATTTTTTTTTTTTTTTTTTGAGACGGAGTGTCGCTCTTGTTACCCAGGCTGGAGTGCAATGGCGCGATCTCGGCTCACCGCAACCTCCGCCTCCCCGGGTTCAGGCAATTCTCCGGCCTCAGCCTCCTGAGTAGCTGGGATTACAGGCACGCGCCACCATGTCCAGCTAATTTTTTGTATTTTTAGTAGAGACGGGGTTTCACCGTGTCGACCAGGATGGTCTCGATCTCTTGACCTCGTGATCCACCCGCCTCGTCCTCCCAAAGTGCTGGGATTACAGGCTTGAGCCACCGCGCCCGGCCAGAAGGATATATTTTTTAAGAGACGTGGACATTTGAAAGATAAGGGGGAATTTTCAAGGTAAAATCAGTATGTTTTTAAAGATACTTAACATAGCTTTTAAATTGACATTTGGATATAAATATGTTGAGGGTAGATAATTTAGAACTAATAAATATTCCTCAGTTTATTTAGGAAAGGGAAACAGATGGGAATATTGAACTTTATTGAGGTAAGTTTGGCAGTCTTTGTTATTTTTAGAATAGTTATAGTTAAGAGCTAAACGGTAATTGTGATGTGCGGTTTCCTAATGATCTTGTGAGTGAGCAGAACCTCCACGTTGCTTTTTTTCAACATTTTTGTTGTTGCATTTAGATTTGTTTATGCTTATTGTGCCAGATGTCTGTAACAGATTTGTTTTTGCGTACTTCTTTTATTCATGTACTTATTTCGCCTTTATGTGAGAGTTCTGGAAGTACGTATAGTTAGCTTTAAGTATAATGAGTGAAAAATATTTTACAGTATTGGATGGATTATTTCAAAATATGCTGTTTGTGTTAATGGCTCTTTTCGTCCTTTAAACTCTTCTGTTTTTTAAAAAATCAGAATTCTATGTATGATCAAGCTTTGATTTCTTAAGATACTCTAGCAGATGTTTGAATAATATGTTACTGTATTGGGATTAAAGAGAGTTTCAGCATTTTAAGCAAAGATCACATTCTTTGGAAGAAAAGTACTATCTATTATACTGAAGGAACGCTACTTAGATAAAACTGAATTGGTTGATAAAACCATACTTGTATCATTATCTCTGAATTAACATCTCTGCCACTAAGGCAAATTAAAGTATTCACCATGATAGCACTTACCCTTGGGGACTAGAATATTTTTTTTCTTAACCCCCAGACACTTTTTAGAATGATTTTACCTATATTGGGCATTATCATCATTTAAAACAAGCTGTTATTGTCATGAACAGATCTAGCAGGTATAATTGTTGCTCTAAACAATAACAAATGACTGCTTTCACTTCTGAGACTGAGGCATGAGGCAAGGAGTCTCTCCTAGTGAAACTGGTTTCCAGATGCAGGGTTGTGAGCAAATAACTTTTAAAAAATATTGCCTCCTTTGTAGCTGATTCAGATCACAGTTCTGAATTTTATATTTGCTGTAGTATTATATTTGATAAAAAATTATCCAGTAACATTATCATTTTTAAGTTGTACAAATGAAAAGATGTTTTATTCTTAGTGGAGCCTTAGAAAGATTTTTTTTTTTTAATTTTTGACGATCACCTGTTGTTTCTTTATAGCTTACTGTTATATCCTTATAGATGAAACTTTATTGCCCCTTTTATAACCCATAGGTTTTGCTGGTTTTCAGAAATCCTGATCAGTTTCATATATAATTTTATATACTTTAAAACCTCAAACTTTTAAAATGGTTTGATTTAAATTGTATACAATATTAGATGTCACTGAAAGGTTTCTTGCGGATGTTGAAAGTCTTTTTGTTTATTAGTTAACATTTATGGGGCTAGGTGCAGTGGCTCAGACCTGTCATCCCAGCACTTTGAGAGGCCAAGGCAGGAGGATCACTTGAGCCCAGGAGTTTGAGACCTGAGCTCTGCAAAAAAACAGTTTTAAATTAGCTGGGTGTGTTGGTGAACACTTGTGGTTCCAGCCACTCAGGAGGCTGAGCCTGGGAGGTCAAGGCTGCAGTGAGCCATGATGGAGCTGGATTACAGGCGTGAGCCACTGCGCCTGGCCCCATTTTCCTTCTTAAGTATCATCTTTAGAGACGATTAACAAGGTTGTTAAGTTATAGACTTAAATATTTTCTCCTGTAAGTATGGAACGATATTAAAAAAAAAAAAAAATGTGTCAAATAGCTTAGACTCTGTGTGTGCGTGTGTGTGTGGTGTGTGTGTGTGTGTTTCAAGGAAAGATATTTTCTGTTTACATATTACTTTCTAAAAGATTGATTAGATTCTTGAGTAGAACAGAAAAGGAGAGATATAATTGCATATCTTTTTTGTAGAGTCTGAGATGTTACTTTTTATAACTTAATCTTTAAGTCACATAACAATAACAGAGTCTGAGATAGAATCCTGTATGTCCTAATATGTATCACTGTGGGAATTTACTTAGTGTGCCTGTGAAAAATGTTAGTATTTGTTTAATTTATGACAATTAGAAGTTAACAAAAACAGTTGAATTCCCCAAATCTTTATTTTATTTGTATTTTTGAATTATCAAAATTAAAACTCTATCTAGTACTTGGCTATCATCTTTTTGGAAACTGTAGTGATTTTTGGCCTAGATACTGATCCACAGTTTGCTTTCAGTCAGATCGTATCAAGAAATAAGAAAAACTTCATTTGAGCAATTTCGAAGTTTTCCTTTCAGTCTGTCAGAGTAGTTAGTCATTTTTGCTTTGTTTTTAAATTTAATACACAACTTAATTTTCTGAAATTAATGACACCTGATTAAATTTGGTTTTGGAAACATTTTAAGGCAGTGTGGTTTGTCATTGCAGGTTTATCAAGTAGAAGATGTATGTGAAGAAGAAATGCCGGAAGAGTCAGATGAATGTGTCCGGATGGATAGAACCCCACCACCACCCACTTTGTCTCCAGCAGCTATAACTGTGGGGAGAGGAGAAGATTTGACTTCTGAACATCCTTTGTTAGGTGAGAAAATGCCAAACTTTGTGGGAATTTTTCTATTTGATAAATGTTAATAATAGGAAAAGTTGATTTTCTTTTCCCTCCCCTCCTTTCCCCTCTCTTTATAGCTGAGACTGTAGGTGCATACCACTATACCTGGCTAAGTTTTTATTTTTTTGTAGACACAAGGTCTTACTATGTTGCTTAGACTGGTCTTGAACTGCTGGCCTGTAGTGATTCTCCTGCCTTGGCCTTGCAGAGTGTCGGGATTACAGATGTGAACCGCTGCACCCAGCCTGTTTTTTCACTAGACATGATCTTAAATGAATTTGTTATGGTAGTTAATTGTAACAAAACACAGATTTGAATTTAGACTGTGTGTGTGTGTGTGTGTGTGTGTGTGTGTGTGTGTGTGTATGTGGTATGTGTGTGTAAGATTTTTTTTTTTTTTTTGAGACAGGGTCTCACTCTGTCATCCAGGCTGGAGTATAGCCTGGCAGAATCATAGCTCATCGGAGCCCCTACCTCCTGGGCTCGAGTGATTTAGAAGAAGACTCAAATAGCTAGGTGTACAGGAACCTGCCAGCACACTTGGTTAAGTTTTTATTTTTGTAGAGATACGGTCTCACTCTGTTGCCCAGGTTTGTCTCAAACTCCTGGATACAAGTGATCCTCTTGCCTCTGCTTCCCAGAGTGCCGTGATTACAAGTAGGAGCTACCATGCCCAGCCTGGAAAATTCTTTAATAGCAGGAAAGTTCAGTAGTTTATAAATTGTTCTGTACCATCCAAATGAAAACCTGTCATTTCAGGCTTCTAATTTTAGTGGTTTTTACAGACATGTTTCATATGCTCTTTGACATTTATGTATCAGGCTATTTCTAGTTTAAAAATAGAATAAATTCTTTCAAAAGATTTAAATTAGACTTTCCAAAAACATGAAGTATTCTAAGCCATATGTGATATTCCTCACAATGGTTTGTGATTCAGACTGAGTAAATACTTTTAAAACTGTTCTTTAATATTTATGGTACTTAAGTTAAACCTCACTAAATTCTTACAAGAGATATGGATTAAAGAAAAGTCTTAGCTGGGCTCGTTGGTGCATGCCTGGAGTCTCAGCTTCGTGAGAGGCTGAGGTAGGAGGATCACTTGAGCCCTGGAGTTTGAGTTCGGCTTATACAACAGAGGGACACTCTTGTCTCTTAAAAAAATGTTCTGTGCTTAACCATTCAAATTCGTATTCACTGCTTCAGTGGTGTTTGAGTTCAAATGAATCACCTGTATGTGCCTCTTTACAAAGCTACTGTGTATCCTAGATATTTGATATTTCACTAAACCTAAGTGTTTCATGTTAGTTTTTAAGATTTATGAATGTTAGGATTAGAAGTTGGCACACTGCGCACTGTTCAGATCTTTTCTGCTGCTTATTTTCTTTCTTTCCTTTTCTTTAAGAGACAGGGTCTATGTTACCCAGGCCGGCCTCTAACTCCTGGGTTTATGTAATGCTCCTGCCTCAGCCCCCTGAATAGCTAGCTGGTACTGTAGGTGCTTTCCATGCACAGCTTGCTGCTTATTTTTGTATGGTCCAAGCTAAGGATGGCTTTTACATTTCTGAGTGATTGAAAACAGTCAAAAGAGTAATAGTTCATGTCATGAAAATGTATGTAAAATTCAAATTTTATTGTCCATTAAGTTCCACTGGGTGTGGTGGCTCACGCCTGTAATCCCAGCACTTTGGAAGGCCAAGGCAGGCAGATCACCTGAGGTCAGGAGTTTGAAACCAGCGTCACTAGCATGGAGAAACCCCATCTCTACTAAAAGTGCAAAAATTGGCCGTGCATGGTGGTGCATCCCTGTAATCCCAGCTACTAGGGAGGCTGAGGCAAGAGAATCACTTGAACCTGGGAGGCAGAGGTTGCTGTGAGCAGAGATCGTGCCATTGCACTCCAGCCTGGGCAACAAGAGTGAAACTCTGTCTCAATCAGTCAGTCAATAAAGTTCTGTGAAACATAGCCACACACTCATTTGTTTAGATATTATTTACAGCTGCTTTTTCCTAACCACAAAGTTGAGTAATTGTAAAAACCATATGGCCATTTATGGAAAGTTTTTTTGACCCCTGATCTGAATAATACTAATCTTGGTTCTGGCTTTGTTGTATGTGTTCTGTTCTGTTGATAATCTCATGGCATTCATGATCATTTTCAGTTACGAAGGACTACTACAACAGGCATGGAAACAAGTTGTTATGGAATACTGACCCTGTCTGTAGTCTAGGCAACCCTTGCCCTCTGCTTTCTTCAGCGTGCTTCATCCCCTTCCCTTCTTTTCGTTCAAGCTTTTATTCTCTTACTACTAATACAACTCTTTAGAGAGCATAGAGGGGGAAATTTAATTTTCTTTTCATTTTTCCACCCCTGAAAAGTAGAAAAACATTTAGTCAATAAATTTATATAAAATATTTAAAATGAATTTTATATTATTGCCATTTTTTTTTTCCTTCTGGAGATGGAGTTTGGCTCTGTTGCCCAGGCTGGAGTGCAGCGGCATGATCTTGGCTCACTGTAACTCAACTTCTGCCTCCTGGATTCAAGTGATTCTTCTGCCTCAGCCTCCAGAGTAGCTGGGATTACAGGCACTAGTTTCTTTTTTTCTTTCTTTTTTTTTCTTTTTTCTTTTTGGTATCCAGGCACTAATTTTTGTATTTTAGTAGAGACAAGATTTCACCATGTTGGCCAGGTGGGTCTTGAACGCCTGACCTCAGGTGGTCCGCCTGTGTTGGTCTCCCAAAGTGCTGAAATTAAGAGAAGTGAGCCACCGCGCCCAGCCTATTACTACTGCATTTTTATTCAAAATTGTATCTCAAAAGATGTAAGAAAATTTAACTGTAGTATCAAATCTTTGTGGTTTACACTGAAATGGATTTATGTTGCTGCAAATTTCCTGGAGTTTTGATTTAAAGGCAGAAATGTAAGTTTTATTGGTAATCTGTCGTAGGATTAGAGTTACAAAAAAAAGTTAAGTTTTATTGAATAGTAAACTTACTTTATGGTTGTGATTTAATTACAAAATAAGCATTACTAATAGTACTTGAAGGAAGTTTAAACATTTCTGAAGTACTGGAACACAAGAGTATCTTTCCATGTTTTCCTCAGGAATGTAGTCTGAGATCCTGTCAAGCACATCTCTCTGGCTAAATTGTCAAAGTACAATGTAGTCTTTTGAATCTTCCTATAATTTACTTCATACTTGTTATTCCTCTGTAATATTTGAGGGGTAACTAAAAGACAGGCTGATTTTTTTTCTTTTACAATACCTCTCATCAAATCTTGAAATAAACTAACTTGCAGAAAATAGACTTGTTTCCATCCAGATCAGTTGTTATAAATCTTTAAGATTTTTTGGAAGTGAAAAGCATCTATACAAAAAGGTAGAAAAATCTCATATCTCTTGTTCAGTAAATGATATTGAGAATAGACAGAGATCTGTGGCAAAATCTCACCAGTTAGAACTTGGGTTTTCTCTCTCACTTTCCTTAAATCTAGAGGGTGTAATAATTGTGTTTCTATTCTATTGTAATATATGGATGTTTCTCATGTTTTCGATTTTTACAACTTATGTAAATAGCTATTAACATCTTCAAAAAGTAATTTACATCTCTGATTTGAACAAAATTTAGGAGTGTAAGTTTGGTACATTCATATATATGATCTAGATATTAATTAGAATATACCCCAAGCATTATTTCTTGAACAAACCAAGTTAAACTTAATGCAGCTTTATATTTTAAAAGTAACAAAGTATCTCTTTAAATGTGTAAGGGACATTACAATTTTAATTTAGGTTTCAGTTCTCCATAGATTTATTTTTTCCTTTCTACAGAAAGATTCCTTTCAGTTCCACTTCAGAATTTTTAATCTTTTATCCTTTGTCCCCTGGAAGTATATGTGAAGATTTGGTATGTGAGATAGGATTATTGTGAAGTTCTTTAGTTTGATAATATATTTGTACAGTTGTGTATTTGTTCCTATAAATCAGCAAATTAACATTTTCTGGTGATTTTCTTTCTTTTTTTTTTTTTTTTAGCTTTTTGTAGATAGTGTGACTTTAAACAGGTGTTCCAGTACACTTAATTTTGGTGGGTTATTTGGTGAAACTAGGTTAATTTGTGGATATGACTGCTGTGAAGGCTGGGCATGGAGGCTCATACCTGTAATCTCAGCCCTTCGAGTGGTTAAGGCAGAAGGATCACTTGAGTCTAGGCATTCCCAACCAGTTGGGCAACAAAGTGAGACCCCAGCTTCACACACACACACACACACACACACAACATTTAAAAAAATTAGCCAGGCATGGTAGCATGCACCTATAGTCCCAGCTACTCAGGAGGTTGAGACAGGAGAATCACCTGAGTCTGGGAGGTTGAGGCTGCAGTGAGCCTTGATCATGCCATTGGACTTCAGCTTGGGTGACAAAGACACTGTCTCAAAAAAACAAACAAAAAACTACTTGTTCTGTGGATTTCATGACTCAATTTCATTTAAGCATACTTTGAAAGTACTCCACTGCCCCACCTTTATACCATCTGGAATATGTAAATAGGAACATGGGGATTTAATACCTTAAAATTAAAAAAACATCAAAACAAAACCAAACAACCATTTTTATTTGTAAGTTTATATCTTAAAACATTTTCATGTCTTATGGGAACAATTTTGTTTTTTTGAGATGGAGTTTTAATCTTGTTGCCCAGGTTAGAGTGCAGTGGCACAACCTTGGCTCACCGCAACCTCTGCCTCCCGGGTTCAAACAATTCTGACTTAGCCTCCCAAGTAGCTGGGATTATAAGGCATGCGCCACCATGCCCTGCTAATTTTGTGTGTGTGTGTGTGTGTGTGTGTGTGTGTGTGTGTGTGTGTGTGTGTGTGTATTTTTTTTTAATAGAGGTGGGGCTTCACCATGTTGACCCTGGTCTTGAACTCCTGACCTGAGCCTCCTAAAGTGCTAGGATTACAGGTATGAGCCATTGTGCCCAGCCAGTTTGTTAAACAAAGGTTTGGATAATAAGTTCCTTCTTTGAGCAAGTTACCCTCTTCTATAAAGTGGAAATAATAGTAGCTTCTACCTTAGAACAGTTTTTGGAAGTACCAGCTATTAACTATTGTTGTTATTGTTTATTCTTGAATTCTCTCTCATATTGCTTGGGCAAAATGCTAAAATATTTTTTAAATGACTTTTTTGGTTTTTTTGTTTTGTTTTGTTTTTTTTAGAGCATGTGGAATTACCTGCTGTGGCATCAGTCAGTGCTTCAGTAATTAAATCTCCATCAGATCCCTCACACGTTTCTGTTCCACCACCTCCGTTGTTACTTCCAGCTGCCACCACAAGGAGTAACAGTACATCTATGCACAGTAGCATTCCCAGTATAGAGAACAAGCCCCCACAGGCTATTGTTAAACCACAGATCCTAACCCATGTTATTGAAGGCTTTGTGATTCAGGAGGGATTGGAGCCATTTCCTGTAAGTAGCAAGCATATTTCTGTGTGCATTTATAATTTATATAACATTATTTTTTGAATTATATAGTACTATTTTCTAATAAAAAGCTTGTAATTTTATTTCAAGAAAGTTGTTCATTTTAATGTAACATTTATCTCTCTACTTCCTTTATTTTCAAATGTATATGTAGAATTTTATGCTAGCTAAGTTTAGATGTATAAACTAAGGGAAAAAATGAAAAAAATTTCAGGACATATTTTTATAATTTTGAGAAAGGTATTTGGAAGTTTATCCAGTGAAAGGAACTTTTCATTTTTTTCTTTCTTTCTTTCTTTTTTTTTAAAGACAGGATCTTGTTCTGTTGCCCAGGCTAGAGTGCAGTGGTGTGATCATGGCTTACTGTTGCCTTTACCCCGGGTCTCAATTGATTCTCCCACCTCAGCCACCTGAGTAGCTGGGACCATAGGCATGTGCCACCATGCCCCATTAATTTTTGTATTTTTTGTAAAGACAAGGTCTTGCTATGTTGCCCAGGCTGGTTTTGAACTCCTGGGCTCAAGCAGTCCACCTGCCTCAGCCTCCCAAAGTGCTGGACTTACAAGTGTGAGCTATGGTGCTCACCCTATTTTTTCTTTCTTTTTTTTTTTTTTTTTTTTTGAGATGGAGTTTTGCTCTTGTTACCCAGGCTGGAGTGTGATGGCGCGATCTCGGCTCACTGCAACCTCCGCCTCCTGGGTTCAGGCAATTCTCCTGCCTCAGCCTCCTGAGTAGCTGGGATTACAGGCACGCGCCACCATGCCCAGCTCATTTTTTGTATTTTTAGTAGAGACAGGGTTTCACCATGTTGACCTGGATGGTCTCGATCTCTCGACCTCGTGATCCACCCGCCTCGGCCTCCCACAGTGCTGGGATTACAGGCTTGAGCCACCGCGCCCGGCCTATTTTTTCTTTTTAAGGGGACTAAAATGAGAGCTGAAGTGTACTACTGCTGCTGCTGCTGCTGCTGCTGCTGCTGCTTTTATGTATGTATGTATGTGTTTATGTATGTATGTATATTTTTGAGAGAGAGTCTCACTCTGTCACCCAGGCTGGAGTGCAGTGGCACTACAATCCCTGCCCCGTGGGTTCAAGTGATTCTTATGCCTTAGCTACCTCAGTAGCTGGGACTTACAGGCATTACCACCACGCCTGGCCAATTTTTGTATTTTAGTACAGAAGGGGTTTCACCATGTTGTCCAGGCTGGTCTCAAACTCCTGGCCTCAAGTGATCTGCTGCCTCAGCCTCCCAGAATGCTGGGACTGCACCTGGCCATAAAGTGTATTATTTTAGATCATCTGAAGTTACCCAATTGATGGTTTGTAATTAGCAAATATATTTTCACATTATTCCGAAATTTTAGCCTTCAATCATTTTTAAAATGCTGTAAAAATGTTCAGCTCAAAATGAAGGTGCTTTATCACTGCAGGTCTTATAACTTGAGGCTAAGCTGTACATAATTTGTATGCTAATATGTAGAGATAAACATTTTTCCTTAGAAAATATGTCAAAGATAAGCAGATAGAAAAATATGAAAACGTTTTTGGAAGGCCTTTGAGTCATCTGAATTTTCAGATTCCTGGTTGAAAATCTTGCATTGTGATAACTACCCACTCAGTTGCCTTTGTGTTCAGTTTCCTCTGTGTGAGTGTGTCAAACTTGGATTTCCTATAGCAATTCTCTTATAGTGGATGGAGGGACAGTCTTTTTTTCCCTGTCTACCCCATGCTGGCTGTGTAACCTTTGTCAAGTCATTTAGACTTTCTGATCTTTATTTTGCTTATCTGTCAGATGGAGATGATGCTTTACTCCTAGGGTTGTTGAGAGAACTAAATGTGCATAAATTATTCTGTATAGTACCTGGCACTTCATAGCCATAGCTATTATTATCTCTTATCACTAGTGAGAGCCATTAATTTTTGTTTTTCAGATTGTAAAAGTTAAAAAAAAAAAACCAACTCCTAAATATACTGATAGTTACTGTTTTTGTTTTTTAGTGTTGGACTGAGCTACCAAAATATACATAGTGCAGGATTACTGGATGATTAGTATTAATTCTGAAGATAAGGAATTGCTGAATTTTAAGACTTTTCCCACAAAACTACTTGCCTAAATCAGACACTAGGTTTCATTTGACAGAGTCTTTGAAGCAGCTGTACTGCTGGTGACCAGAAATAAACTATTCATGTCCAGACCACCTAACCTATTCTCAAGGAATAAAGCACCTAATAAATGGATCTGATCAGTTGAACTAGTAAATTATCACAAATTGGTTTCATTTCAAGAGTTTTTTTAAAACCAAGTTATTTCTGAATGTCTTTTCAGAGATTGTTTCATTTTATTATTTCTCCTTTTTAAAGGTGAGTCGTTCGTCTTTGCTAATAGAACAGCCTGTGAAAAAACGGCCTCTTTTGGATAATCAGGTGATAAATTCAGTGTGTGTTCAGCCAGAGCTACAGAATAATACAAAACATGCCGATAATTCATCTGACACAGAGATGGAAGACATGATTGCTGAAGGTTTGTGAACAGTTTCACTTAAGATACCCTTTATTTAACTTTGACTTTTACTGCTTGAAAAAGGACGTGGATTTTTATTCTGTACAGATTTTTACTGGAAGTATTCAGCTTTTATTCTCATATAATGCACCATTTGACTAAAATAATGGGAAAGCTAATCAGACTCTGAGTGGTCACATAACTAAAATAGCAAGATTAGTAGTATTTTGTTCAATGTCAGTTTGACTTCTGAAAGAATGTGGGTGGGAAAAGTTCCATCATATGTGAGAGAATGCAATTCAGAATTTTAGTATCAAAACAATCAGTTTTCTTCTTTTAAAGCAGACTTAAGTAACAAATTAGTATTTTACTGCATTTGCTTAAACTTTTAGAGCTTCTGAGTTGTTTTAGCATTTCTGCATTCTGATGTTTGACATCAGGTGGATATTATAATTAAGTATATACTCTTCATTCAAGGGGTGATTACATTTGTTCAATGAGAAAACTCCTTTTTATAGACTTTATTCTAATAAAGAATAAAATACGGCCAGGTACAGTGGCTCACGCCTGTAGTCCCAACACTTGGGGAGGCCAAGGCAGTCAGATTACTTGAGGTCAGGAGTTCAAGACCAGCCTGACCAACATGGTGAAAGCCTGCCTCTACTAAAAATAAAAATAAAAAAAATTAGCTGAGTGTGGTGACGTGCACCTGTAATTTCAGCTACTTGGGAGGCTGAGGCAGGAGGATCACTTGGAGGTTGCACTGAGCTGAGATCATGCCATTGCACTCCAGCCTGGGTGACAGAGCAAGACTCCATCTCAAAAAAAGAAAGAATAAAATAAATAGAAGTCAAAGTGGTATACAAAGGTGACTGAAGGAAAGCAAACAAAAATAAACATGGAAGTGATATTTCATACCTTCAATTTGCTATTTAAAAGCAGCAAAGTTTTTACTGTTTTATGGGATGAGATTCTGAATTGCCATGTTCTGTGGGAACATCTTTGTGAGACAATTCCTCTTAATTTTGATCATGGCTCTTCAGGTGATAGAGTTCAGTTTAATGTAATAGCATTTAGAATGGTGAAGGCTCTATAGAATTAACGTTTGTGTCTAAGCAGTTACCCTCAGTGTATTAGTATATTTCATTAAAATTATTCACTTTACAAATATTGATTGAGCCAATACTGTGTGCTTTTACTTTGCTAAATTAAGCAAAATAGCATGCTGGTAAGCAAACTAGATACTGTCTTTGCCCACAGTTTTTCTGACTTAAAAGGGTGCCACGTCTGGCATTGTTAGCTCTTTATAAACTGCTGCAACATATTTATCACCATTTTACTTGTTACTTGAACAGCAAAGAGTATACTAGTTTAAAATTTGTTTTTTCCTACTTATTTGGAGTTCAGTTTGATTTGTTTTATTTGGTGTTTTTTTTTTTTTTTTTTTTTTTGGGAGACGGAGTTTTGCTCTTGTTACCCAGGCTGGAGTGCAATGGCAAGATCTCGGCTCACCACAATCTCCACCTCCTGGGCTCAGGCAATTCTCCTGCCTCAGCCTCCTGAGTAGCTGGGATTACAGGCACACGCCACCATGCCCAGCTAATTTTTTTGTATTTTCAGTAGAGACGGGGTTTCACCATGTTGACCAGGATGGTCTCGATCTCTTGACCTCATGATCCACCCACCTCGGCCTCCTAAAGTGCTGGGATTACAGGCTTGAGCCACCGAGCCCGGCCTGATTTGTTTTAATAAAGGATGTTAACCATGAAAAATTTCAAACATTAATTAGAAAGAACTGTATAACAAATCTCCAGTCACCCAGACTAACATTATCACCCAAATTCATCATTATTTTGCCACATTAGAACACTAAGAGTAAATGCACGAAGAATGTGTAAGCGCTAGGTAACTTTGAGAGAGGGCAGTGAAGAGTAGACGGCTGAATTAGAGGAGGAGTGGGAAGTATGAATGGCGGAGTCAGTTTGTGGAGAACCTTGGATATTAGACAAGCGAGTTAGAAGTTACCTTGCTGGGCGGATGGTTTGAAGTTGGCTGGATAGTTACTGAAGATTTTTAGGCAGGTGATATGAATGAAAGTGTTTTTGGAAACTTTGATGGCCATTTATAGGATGTATATATAAGTTTTGCATGTAATTGACACCTGTAGTCATGGTGGCAAGAGGAAGGAAAGGACTGATGTTCTCAAGGTAAAGGGGTAGTTCAGCAGGATATGATATCAGAGTAAGAACAGGAAGATACAGAGATAACATATTTCATAGACGAGAAATATTTATATAAAATGTGTTAAAATTTTAAATACACTAATTTCCCAAGGTAATTTTATAATTTTCACGTTCTTATTACTATGTACGTCAGTGTTTGTAGGAAGTACTACAGTGTGAAATGGTGAGGTCATTTATTTAGTGGCTTTGGTTTTAGTAGTATATATAGTTTCAACCTTCAAACCTCATGGTAAGCATAAAAAGGATAAATTGTGGGTCTGTTTAGACTGGTTCTATTGTGAGAGTTTCTAACCAGTAGATTGTGATTCATCAAAGTAGCTTATTGTCTTTCTTAGTATGTCATCACACTTATCATGGTTTCCATCTCATTGCCTCTTTTTGCTGCTGTCCTCATGTAATTTCAGGTCTTGGGGGAAGTAAAAAGTAACTTCTCCTCATGCCAGAAAATGGGGGCTCTATAATAGTTAGGAAGTAGGTTTGGCCACTCCAGTAAAGATCCAGAATAATATTTAATTAAAGAAGATAGGAGTTTAATTTTCTTTGACATAACCCAAAGGGCAGCAGTTGAGGGCTTCATGTGGTAGTTCCTTAGTACTGGGCACTCAAGCTCCAGGGTTTTATGTCTCTGCCTCCATAGAATGTTGCTTTTATTTCCAAGATGGCTAATCTTCATGATCACATTCTAACCAATGACATGGGGGAAAGAGCACCATCTGGAATTTGTGAACATTTACATTCATATGCCATTGGTTACAAATTAGCCACACCTAGGACAGAAACTTGTTTTTAATCTGGGTGGCCGTGTTCGTAAGGTTTTGTTACTATGGGAGAAAAGCAAAGAGTGGATGCTGGAGAATTACCAGCTGTCTCTGCCATAGAATCCATTTTTATTACTAAATCAGCAGTTTAAAAAATTGTTTTGGCAGTTTTAAAATTCATAAATGTAAAATAGGGACCTTGGCAATATTACCGAATTTATTAAAAATCTGACTGAACATTAGAATGTTTGAATTTGTTAATGTCCCTCACTTTATGAGAAATAAAACTGATACTCTATTTTTTGTTGGGTTAACTGTAAATCATTTCTATTTGATATTTCCTTTCTCTCACCAGCAGAAACATTTTCTTCTCCTTCATAACATATTCTAACCTATTATTAGGTGTTACACCTTGCTATGTTAATTAACAAAACATCTTTGAAACAAAGCTTTTTGCATATGCTGTTCCTGTAATAAACCTGAGAAATAGAGTCTGTCAGGGCTGGAACTAATGGCTGTCGGTGGTTAAGTGAGAAGTTCTGTCTCCTGTACAGGCTTTTCAAGGTCAGATCAGATTATAAGCATGACAAAATCAAAACAGTACTTCTGGGAATTATGTTGTCAGGTCTCAGGAATGCATTGGTGGATCTTCTGACTGGGCGGTTGGAAGGGGCCATTTTTAACTTGTTTTGAGATTGTTTCTTCCTCATTGCTACTAAATTGATGACTTTTGCTTATGAAAGTAGTTCTGAGAGTAGTTACATATGTAGGATAGAAGAAGGACATTCTAAATTAATAGGGAGCATCCTATTAAGCACCCTGTTTTATACTTATATATATGCATCTTTTAAAATAATTTTATGTATGTATCTATGTATGATGAATGAGATGGGATCTTGCTATGCTGCCCACACTGGTCTCAAATTCTTTGACTCAAACAGTTCTTCTGCCTCAGCCTCCTGATATATACATCTTTATATATTTTATCATTTACTGCAGGTCTTTGAGAGAGCTAATTATCTTACATGCTCCTTTAAATCAGACGTATCAAAATTTCACCTTTTGAAGCCATTGCTCCAGTTAGAATTAAGGGTTCTCTGCTATGTGTCTCCACAGTGCAGTTTATCAAAATTCATATCGCACACTCAGCTTTTTGAAAGCGTTCCTCCTGGAAGGTAGTGCCTATGTTATTGATCTTCATTTCTCTCCCAGTGTTTGTAAAGTTTTTTTGTACATTTTAGATGGATTGTAAGCGAGATAAACCTTTTAAAATGTTAGCTTATTATTTTTTGAGACTGAGTTTCACTCTTGTTACCCAGGCTGGAGTGCAATGGCACGATCTCGGCTCACCGCAACCTCCGCCTCCTGGGTTCAGGCAATTCTCCTGTCTCAGCCTCCTGAGTAGCTGGGATTACATGCACGCACCACCATGCCCAGCTAATTTTTTTTTTTTTGTATTTTTGTAGAGACGGGGTTTCACCATGTTGACCAGGATGGTCTCGATCTCTTGACCTCATGATCCACCCGCCTCGGCCTCCCAAAGTGCTGGGATTACAGGCTTGAGCCACTGCGCCCAGCCTAATGTTACGCTTATTTATGTAGAAAGAAATTCCTTGTAATTTTTATGCAGACGCAAGAGGGAATTAGTAGCAGTGGTTGTTTTTGAAGGCTTTTGTCTTGTCAAAGTGACTGTGGATTGAAAAGTTAAGAACCAGCCGGGCGCGGTGGCTCACGCCTGTTAATCTCAGCACTTTGGGAGGCCAAGGCGGGTGGATCACGAGGTCCAGAAATCGAGACCATCCTGGTCAACATGGTGAAACCCAGTCTCTACTAAAAATACAAAAAATTAGCTGAACATGGTGGCGCGTGCCTGTAATCCCAGCTACTCAGGAGGCTGAGGCAGGAGAATTGCCTGAACCCAGGAGGCGGAGGTTGCGGTGAGCCGAGATCATGCCATTGCACTCCAGCCTGGGTAACAAGAGCGAAACTCCCGTCTCAAAAAAAAACCAGAAAAGTTAAGAACCATTGGTTTGCTAGCAGTATCCAACCAAAGTATAGACTAAAAGAAAACTTGCATAATTAAATTTTTGGAACTTTTTTTTCCTTTGTTTCCTTCTTTTTTAGAGACATTAGAAGAAATGGACAGTGAGTTGCTCAAGTGTGAATTCTGTGGGAAAATGGGATATGCTAATGAATTTTTGCGGTCAAAACGATTCTGCACGATGTCGTGTGCCAAAAGGTATTTCTGTGCTCTTGAATTTCCTAAAGGACAGATAAATAACTATTGGAACAAAACCCAAAAACCTTTGAATAGCTTACCAAGGACAACTCTAGATATTTTAGTATGTATTATACTGTAGAAGAAACCTAGATATTGTAATGTAAAAGAATAATACAAATAGGCAGTATCTGGAGATGTCTTGTACTTAGTTACTAGATTTTGCTTTGTGAAAATTACATATTCATAACACTTAATTGTATGGTATAATCTGATATTAAAGTAGTAATCTCCTGGTGGTAAGAATATATTTAGGAGAATCCCTCCAAGGAAATGATCAGGATGTTATGCAATACTAGTCCTTAAAATATAAAAAACAGTATGTGTTTTATCATTATTGAAATAACTTAGATTTACTTTGTGTTATTTTAAAATGTTTTCATTTGTTTGAATCACATCCTATTTATTTTAGGTTTCTAACGGGACAGCTATAGTATAAATTCCCCATACTGTTAACATGATCAGAAAGTACTTGTTTTTTCTGAATTAGTATTTTCAATAGTCATAGTTTTTTTTTTTTTTTTTTTTTTTTTTTTAATACAGTCTCACTCTGTCTCCCAGGCTGGAGTGCAGTGGTGCAATCGTGGCTCACTGCAACCTCCGCCATTCAGGTTCAGGCAATTCTCCTGCCTCAGCCTCCTGAGTAGCTGGGATTACAGGCACCTTGCCACCATGCCTGGCTAATTTTTGTATTTTTAGTAGAGACAGGATTTCACCATGTTGGCCAGGCTGGTCTCGAACTCCTGACCTCAGATGATTCCCCCCCACCCCCAGGGGATTACAGGTATGAGCCACCATGCCTGGCTGATAAATAGTATTAATAACAAAATAAATGTTTAGACTCTTCATTAATTGTATAATTCCCAAGTTTGGTTTACATTTAAAAAGAATCCTACCCTAATTCTGATAATAAATCCTAGTAATACTGATACTTGCCACTAAAGTTGAAGTGTATGCACACTATTTTGAAATTGGTTCTCTGTTCAGAAGGGTGATTATTCTCTCAAAGGATTTAAGATCTTCAATAGGATGACTATAGCTTGTACTATATTTCAAAATAGGTAGAAGAGAAGAATTGGAATGGTTCTAACATGAAGAAAAGACAGTATTTAAGGTGTGGATTTCCCAAGTACACTGATTTGATCATTACAGTTGTATGCATGTATTACATTATCACACATACCTTAAAACTATGTACATCTATTATGCATACATAAAAAAAAACCTCATGAAAAAAAAAATCTTAGTTGTATACATCTAGGGAATTTCTGACTTGAACATTTTATTTTGTATGGGATATTTCCAAAATATACTTAATAAAAAGTTAAATAGTAGAAGTGTTTTCCTCCAAAATTGGGTTCATCGTTTCAGTTGTTAATCTGTTTTTCAAATACGCTTTGATGTTACTGGTAAACTAGTAATCAAATTATGTAACTCAAGTTTTAACTTGAATTTTCTAGTTCGCATATACCACAAAAAAAGAACAATGGTTCCTTGATTCGAAGTGATTAAGTACTCTAAAAACTTGGGGAAAGGACTGCCTTTCAGAATATTTTAAACTTCTTGACTATTTAAAAATATTTGAGGACACTTAATGCTGCCATTAGTCTTCTCTCAGAGATGACTGCTGAGTTGTGACATTAGTATTCCTTTTGGTGAACCTTTTTAGCAAGGTAGGGGACCTAACAGGGAAATGTGGATGAGAGAGGGTAGGTTAGGTCAGGGAAGAACCATTGTCGTTTCCATGTTAGCCTAGCTGTGTTGGAAAGCTAAATACTTAGGGACAAGGTATCAAGTATAAAGCTAGCCTCTTTTTTCTATTCCTTTTTTTTTTTTTTTTGAGATGGAATTTCGCTCTTGTTGCCCAAGCTGGAGTGCAATGATGCAATCTCGTCTCACTGCAACCTCCGTCTCCTGGGTTCAGGTGATTCTCCTGTCTCAGCCTCCTGAGTAGCTGGGATTACAGGCATCCACCACCACACCTGGCTAATTTTGTATTGTTTACTAGAGGCGGGTTTCTCCATGTTGGTTAGGCTGGTCTTGAACTCCTAACCTCAGGTGATCTGCCCGCCTCGGCCTCCCAAAGTGCTGGGATTGCAGGTCTGAGCCACCTGCAAGTCTTTCTATTTCTATTTCTTAATGGATAAAGTTGATATAAATGGAAATCAGAAACCTACATCACTGAGCCCACAGATGAGCACATTATGAACACAGCAGGATCTTCTTGAATTGTTTCAGGATAAAATGAGTTGGCTATCAAGATACTTATCTTTTTATGGGAAAAATAGCATCTCATTCTCATAGTATCTTTTTTTTGAGACAGAATCTCACTCTGTAGCCCAGGCTGGAGTGCAGTGGCGTGATCTCAGCTCACTGCAACCTCTGCCTCCCGTGTCCCGGTTCAAGCAATTCTCCTGCCTCAGCCTCCGGAGTAGCTGGAATTACAGGCATGCGCCACCATGTGCAGCTGATTTTTGTATTTTTGGTAGAGATGGGGTTTCACCATGTTGGCCAGGCTGGTCTTGAACTCCTGACCTTGTGATCCACTTGCCTTGGCCTCCTAAAGTACTGGGATTACAGGCATGAGCCACCACGCCCGGCCTCTCATAGTACCTTTTATTTCCACCTCTTGATATCTTTATAAAATGTTGATGAGGAGAATTTGTTTTGGTGTCAGCATCTGGGTCCTAGGATAGTTACCGGTAGCAAAGTTAATTGGGATTTATTCTTAGAACTTTCTTGGAGCAAAAGAATTTTGAAGGGTGGATGTGGTTGCACACACCTGTAATTCCAGCAGTTTGGGAGGCTGAGGTGGGAAGATTGCTTGAGCCCAGGAGTTTGAAACCAACCTTGGCAACATAGTGAGACCCTCATCTCTATGAGACAGATTTTTGAAAATAAGTTACCAAGGCAGTTGCATATATGTAAAAATGAAACTGCATATATCTTTCTTAGCCTTTGCATAGCTTTTCAGAAATTTGTTTCTTAGATCATTTTTTCTCACTCTTCTTTCTAGGGAAAGGTTGGCAGACTCACCCAGTCCAAGTCTTTCCTGTGGTTCGTTTTTTTGTATGGGCTCATGAGCTAAGGATGATTTTGAAATTTTTAGTTTGTTGGGAAAAAAATCAAAATAATAATATTTTGTGATACATGAAAATTATGCGAAATTTAAATTTTACTGTTACTAAAAGTTTTACTGGAGCAAAGCCGTGCTCATTCAATATTTTCTATTTATTTTTAATTTTTTAAATTTATTTTTATTGTTTTGAGATAGGGTCTAGCTCTGTTACCTATGCTGTAGTGCAATGGTGCTATCACAGCTCACTGCAACCTTAACCTCCGGGGCTCAAGCCATCCTCCTGCCTCAGCTTCTTAAGTAGTTGAGACTACAGGTGTGTGCCAGCACAACTGGCTAGTTCTTGTATTTTTGGTAGAGATGGGTTTTCACCATGTTGATCTTGAACTGGTCTTGCCATTTACTGGTCTTGAACTCCAGAGCTCAAGTAATCCATCCACCTTGGCCTCCCAAAGTGCTGGGATTACAGGTGTGAGCCACTGCATCCAGCCCAGTATTTTCAGTGGCTACTTTCACACTACAGTGGCAGAGGTGGGTAGTTGTGACAGAAACTTGTATGATCCATTAAACTTAAAATATTTGCCATCTGGTCCTTCGTATAAAAAGTTTGCCAGTCCTTCTTCTAGGACATTAGAATCCATTATAAAAGGCATAGGATTCTTTTGAGCTGTCATTATGTCGTATAAAGGTCTATGTTCAAAAATATTAGGCAGTCTATTTTGGTAAAATAAAATCTTTCATTAAAGGGTTATGTACTTCTAAATTTTCTGAATAATGAGAGCAATGAATTCCTTGTGTAACTTTAAAGTCTCTACTTTAGGCCAGGCGCGGTGGCTCAAGCCTGTAATCCCAGCACTTTGGGAGGCCGAGGCGGGTGGATCACGAGGTCGAGAGATCGAGACCATCCTGGTCAACATGGTGAAACCCCGTCTCTACTAAAAATACAAAAAATTAGCTGGGCATGGTGGCGTGTGCCTGTAATCCCAGCTACTCAGGAAGCTGAGGCAGGAGAATTGCCTGAACCCAGGAGGCGGAGGTTGCGGTGAGCCGAGATCGCGCCATTGCACTCCAGCCTGGGTAACAAGAGTGAAACTCCGTCTCAAAAAAAAAAAAAAAAAAAAATCTCTACTTTACATTTTCATTCTTTGATTTTAGTAATATTTGAAAAATCTTTTATTAGCTGGCTGAAATTCTCTCCCTTAGTATACTAAACTTTTAAAAATTAGTGTCTTTTGAAGTTACTACTTAGAAAAATCAGTTTGAATAAACATCTACATAGATACTACATAACTTCTTTTTCTTTTGGAAACTTCCACTTTTTTTGCTGCTATGAAAATTGGTTATTCTCTGTATTTTGCAGGAAGTTTCCCATTGTCATGCTGTAATCAGAAAAAAATACAATACCTTGTTGTAGAAGTCCAGTAGTATATTGAGAGATATATTATGATATACACAGAGCTCGTTTTTTGACCTTTAGCATAAGTAAATCCATTAAACGATATAGTTGGGGCCGGGCGCGGTGGCTTACACCTGTAATCCCAGCACTTTGGGAGGCCGAGGTGGGTGGATCACAAGGTCAAGAGATCAAGACCATCTTGGTCAACAAGGTGAAACCCTGTCTCTACTAAAAATACAAAAAAATTAGCTGGGCATGGTGGTGCGTGCCTGTAATCCCAGCTACTCAGGAGGCTGAGACAGGAGAATTGCCTGAACCTAGGAAGTGGAGGTTGCGGTGAGCCGAGATCGTGCCATTGCACTCCAGCCTGGGTAACAAGAGCGAAACTCCGTCTCAAAAAAAAAAAAAAAAAAAAAGATTATGAGGTCTTATATTCATAATGATGTATTATGGTACTTACTAAGTCACTGTTGCACTTAAAAGTCACAATTAAATACTAAATGGATTGTCCCATATATCATGAAATATTTTTTCTTACTTGAATTTCTTTAGGTACAATGTTAGCTGTTCTAAAAAATTTGCACTTAGTCGTTGGAATCGTAAGCCTGATAATCAAAGTCTTGGGCATCGTGGCCGTCGTCCAAGTGGCCCTGATGGGGCAGCAAGAGAACATCTCCTTAGGCAGGTCTGTACAAACCTTGCTTCAATGTAAAGTACCCTTTTCAGAAATGCAAGGAAAGTGCAATGCTGTATTTTGCTTGTACTACATTTTCCAGCTTCCAATTACTTATCCATCTGCAGAAGAAGACTTGGCTTCTCATGAAGATTCTGTGCCATCTGCTATGACAACTCGTCTGCGCAGGCAGAGTGAGCGGGAAAGAGAACGTGAGCTTCGGGATGTGAGAATTCGGAAAATGCCTGAGAACACTGACTTGCTACCAGTTGCACAAACAGAGCCATCTATTTGGACAGTCGATGATGTCTGGGCCTTCATTCATTCTTTGCCTGGTATGTAATTCATCACTTTGGCCTTAATATTTTTCTCGTGCATTCACACACAGCAATGTTAGTTCCATCCACACCTTTTGCACAAAAGGGTTAGAGAAGTACTGTGTGTATGTATAAATTAAGTGGCATTGTTATTGAAATATGATCTGTTTCCTCTTGCTTATTCCCTCAGCACTACTGGGTATTTTCTTCATACCCCCCAAGTCGATAAAAACTGACTAGTCCTGCTTCTGCTGTGACACCTCAGCCGGTGAAGATATTAATGGTGCTTTCTTCTCTTCAGTCTGATTTCTCTCGAGAGGTCAGTAGAGAGATTGAATCAGACACTTCTTCCCTTCTGCTCTTCTATTTTTCTATTCTATTCCTCCTTATTTCCTAATTTATCCTTTTTAAAAATGAAATAAGAGAGACTTTTTTTTTTTTTTAACATTTTTGAAAACGAATCAAGACCTTTTACAATATGGTAAAAATTTGGTTTCTTGGAAAAAAATCAAGCCAGTTCTTTTAAAAGAAGGTACATTCTTTGATTCTTTTCAATAAATATCAAGAGCTTTTCTGAAATTTTATATTTCAAATAGACAGCTGAAATTCTATTATATTCATTCTAATTTTGAGGGTAACTTTCTTATTTATGTTTTCCTGTTCTCTCATTTTGATACTCTTTCCATCAACTTTTATCTTTTTTTCTTAAAACAACAGTAATCTTTTATATCCACTTTCTCCAAGGGGCTGGCTACTAAAGACAGCTGTACCTTTGCTCGTGATGAGACCCACACTGGTTATATATGTTAAGACTATATATATTTATATATATGTTTAAATCAGTAAATCTTGTCATTCACTTTGACCTTATGCATATGGAAAATGAGGAGACTAAAACAAAATTATTCCCTTTTATTTTTATTGCAAATCATATCATTTCTCTTGATAAAAGCTTTCTAGAAGAATATGTCGTATTTGAACTTGTCTGCTAACTTTTTACAGTTTAATAAGCTAATTAATTAGCTATTGTTGCTAATTAGTCTATGACGGCAACTAAAGTCTTAGAAGCATACTTAGAGCAAACATGCTATACAAGAAAATATATTTAGAAATGATAGTTTTAAAGAATCTGTTACTTCATATACAGAATTCTGTGAGATTTTATTAAATTAGTTTATTAATAGCTTGTTTTAGAAATGCTTTTTTTTTTTTTTTTTTAACAAAAAAAAACACAAAAAATATGGCCACTTTTAAAGAAAGATGGAATTGTTTAAAGGGGAGATACTTCATGGGAAGATTTTTAAACATGTGCATGTGCCCAAGAAAACTTAGGTGTGAGTTAATTGCTGACCATGTGCATTTAGAATCTGTTTTAAACTTGATGTATTTAGAAGATGGTGAATCTCCATTGGTTGTGGTTTTAGTATCTAATGAAACCAATGTTAGTTTTTAGACCAGTATAGCTATCTTGAGAATTAACTTTGGAGTCTATACTGATTCCTGGGGCTGGACTTTGATTCTGTCATCTTCAGAGGTAGTCTCAGCCTTCCAAGTGGGGCACATGATCTATTTGTGAGCCTGAGTTTTCATTTGGGAGAAATTTTTCTTTTCCTTTGCAAAAGAGAGCTGGTTTACATCCCGAGGAAAATAGTTGCCCAGATAATTAACAGATACACTGCTGATTCTTCTTTCACTTCTTTTTTATTTAGGCTAATTTTCCCCAGCATCCATTTGCCATGTGGCTACTTTATTAGAAAAAAGGCTGATTTCCTTTGTCTCATTCTTGCTTCATTTGAGTTAAACAAAAAACATGAAACTTAATATTGCTCATAACTTAAAATGCTTGTCTTATAGAGTTCATCTAGATACTTAATTTTGTTGCCAGATATTTAGAAAACATATATCATAAAAAGGACACAGTTATTATATAATTCAGAATTTCTTACTACTGTTTTAGAGTCTGCTTAATTTGACTCTTTCTTTACTTATGAAATGGTAATGTTTTCAAACTGCTTTGACAGGCCAAATAATAAGCTTATTTGTGTGATTAGTTATATCACCTTTCTCAAAGTTTTCTCTGCATAATGTCTGTAGTTTAAGGTAATCTCATAACAGAAAATACCTTAATGTTCATTTCTTTCTGCTTCTCTGGAGTTTGTAAATTTCCTTTTGAGCTTCTTTTAGCTCTCATTCAGCACTGTTTATTTTCCCTTAGTAGTCTACTCCCAAGCTTTTCTCATAGAATGAACAAGCTTGTAAATTTTGTAATCTCTTGTATTTTGTTTATTTCCAGTTGAGATAGGCTTCCTTCCCTGTTTAATCAGGGCATATTATGTTTACTCCTCCAGTTTTCTTTTCTCTTTGTATATCATCTTGTTAAACTTCCTGTTCGGGACTATGTTAGAGCTTGTGTGCAGTAGACCAAAATCTCAGAGCTATTATCAGAATGAAAAATTACGGCCCTCTAATTTTTTGTGCATTTAAAAGTTACCTACAGGAACAATTATTATTTTCAGTTTACTGCAGGTTATCTTCTTTAACCCTTCCTTCCTATGATGAACTATCCTTTGCAGAGATCAGTTTATCCTGTTTATTGATCTGTGAATCCACAGTAGATTTGATTTTTCTGTAGGCATATAAAGTAGGAATCATTTCTTAAAACATGACTGTTTACTGGTTTTTGTAATATTAGTATTGGAACTTTTTTTTTGTAGCATTGAGTGGCAGGTAATATCTTTTCACCAACCTTACTGTGGTCAATTTTTGTGCAAAGTGTTTTGTTTTGAGTTTAGCTGGAGAAGTGATGCCAGATGCTTGCAAGTTCAGTTGGGACCCCTGTGCAGAGGTCCTTGCCCGTACTGAGAGCGGCACTGCACTTGCTTCTGGTGAAATGAAGTTAGCTCAGCTGACTGGCTGTGCCAGTTGGTGTATGTTTTATACACATCCCTGGGATCCAAGCCATTTTGCCAAAGTAGATGTTAATGTCAGAAAGCTAGAACTTTATCTCAGTATACCTTGAGCATTTAAGATTGTTTTTAAAATATATTTTTTTCTGTAATGAGTTTCTGGAAGCATACTTGCTTCCAATTTTTCTTTTTCTAAGTCACTTTATTCTTTTATTTCTATACTGATGTAACTACACTTTTTTTGTGGTTAAGAAAGTTGTGATCTAAAATGTGTTCCTATTTGTTTGTGCTGTTTCCCAAAACACTTCTTGTTCTTTATTATTTTGCTAATACATTTACTGTCTACCAACAAGAGGATATTTGAAGAGGAATCTCACAATACAGAGGAACAGGAATGTGCTACATATTTTCCTCATGGAGAACTCCTTGTTTCTATTCCCAAATGTAGCTCTTACAGTTCTCATTACTTCTCATTGCTCCTGTTTTCTGAATCTAAGTAAGTCCCACCCTATCTTTCTCTCTCTTCTTTTCTTTCCTGTGTTCTTGTAAGTAAGACTGAAGAGAGAAGAACATTAGTTCTTTCATAAAAAGAAGGACGAAGTCACAACTAGATGCAAGATTAGTCAGTTTTGTCTGCCTCAGTTTTGTTGAGAGCTACCTCTGGGAAAAGAAAAGGGGCTTTTCTATGGTGAGTAATCCCATTTCAACTATAGTTTATTTTATAAGATAAATGAGCAAAACCATAAAACGTTTGTAGAGGGTATTGAAATGTCAATTTTTAAGTGTGAGAAATTATTAAAACAAATTGAAAAGCCGGTTGTTATGTAGGAAACAGTAAAGATAAAATTAACAGGACATGAGAAAAGAAATGATCAAGAGAAAAAATGGCCACACAGCTAAACACAGGAAAAAATGTTCGTATTACTCTTAAAGATAGCTCTTCTGTAGCAGATTATATTTTTGTTTATTGTGTATTCACCAATTCAGTCCTTATTGACAGATATTATGTATTCAGTACCTATAATGCTTTGTGCTTTGTGCTGGGATTATAAGAGAGACATCATTATCTTACATATAAGAGGATGATACATTTGCAGGTAAAAGTATAATAGTACTAGCAAAATTGTGGCATCCAAAAGTGTAATGTAACTGTTTTCATTTTAATTATCTTTTTATTTGTGTTTTCACTTAGAATGCTAATTTGAAAAAAATAGAAAAACTTAAGCTTTCAGTTTTTATGTGTATTCTTAAATTCATCTTACAGTTTTACTGGCTCTCAAGAAAGCTGCCGTATTTTTTTATTGTCTCCTGTCTCAGCTACTTAATTCATTACCTTTCTATTGGTTTCTTTACCCTTTATGGGTAAGTTTATTGAGTAATCTGGATGTGAAAATTTGGTAGACAGTAAAAACATTTGAGTTTCAGGTACATACTAGCATTGTTACCTGCTAAAGCACCTGGTTTAGACTGAGAGCTAAAATATTGGTTATGTGGTGGGAAATTCGCCAGCAAGTTCATGATTTCAGTGAGAATTGTTTCTTAACAAAAATGGAGACAAGCCCAGTAATACTAAGATTTGGAGTAGAAATTACAAGTCAAGCAGTGTAATAGATTTCAGCAGCATTGCAATAGATTGGTAATACAGTCTTGAGAGATTTGATCTGTCCTGAGTGAATAATAAAAAATTCTAAATGCACTTGGCAAGTGAAGGTCATAAATTAGGATAAGGTACAAAAGATAATGAAAGTAGTACTCACTTGAGAAAATATGTCTAGATTGTTATTTAAATGGCAAAACATTATATTTCTGTTTCCTCTTTACCTATATGTGAAGGAAATATTATACAAAGATAAGTTTATGAGGTATAACTAGTTAAGCCAAACCGGCATGCTTTGAGGTAACAACATAGTCCTGTTTGTGAAGGAAGTATTACATCTAGACTTCGTACATTTTTACCTCTTATGAATTATTTTTATAACATTATTTTAGAGCAAGAATTTCCATGCAAATTGCTTTACATGGATTTTGAATTAATTCTTATTTTCAGAATGCAAATATCCTATTCTTCAAGAGTGAACTCAAGACTACCATAAATAAATTTCATTTGTTTCTCAGCCTGTATTTCAGATTCTCAGACCCAGTGAGAGCATAACTGTGACTGTTAGGAGTAACATACAATTGCTGTATATTTAATTCTAACTTCCTTCCTCTGGTCAAATTTTAGGCTGCCAGGATATCGCAGATGAATTCAGAGCACAGGAGATTGATGGACAGGCCCTTCTCTTGCTAAAAGAAGACCATCTCATGAGTGCAATGAATATCAAGCTAGGCCCAGCCCTGAAGATCTGTGCACGCATCAACTCTCTGAAGGAATCTTAACAGAAACATGAAGCCTTGATAAAACAGCAGTTTTATTCTTCTCATACAAACTTGTAAGGTAAAGGCCTAAATTGGTCTAGAGTATGACACTTACTGTGGTGGATAGCCGAGCACATTGGGACCTCCACATCAAATACTGACATTTCTTATACAGGTATAATAATTCATCGTACATTTTCATAATTAACCATTGGTAAAGTTAATTTTACAGGTTACATGAAACACTGAAAGACTTGTTATAGAGGGCCATGATATTTTTCAAAGAAATGTGTTATACTAGATAATTTTTTTAAAGGTGATGTTTATCATTAATATAAAGAATCCTTTTAAAAGTAATTTAATGATTTACATTTGTCCTGTTTTGATTTGGTTTTCTTATACATTTTTTTCTACCCTATTAGTTTTCTAAAGGTTGTCATGAGAGATATGTTGTGGCATAATTTAGTAGTCCAGTGACAGAATCACATGCAATGAAATCAGTGTACACTTTAAAAAACATGTCTTTTAGACATATGCTTTATCTGTAAAAAAGGAATTGTGTTTTAGTGTGAAGAAAACTGATCTGGAAGTGAAAACAGTTTCTATTCCAAACTTGACCAAGAATTTGGTTTGACTGAGGAAGTTTTCCTCTCAGTTTTTGTACATTTAGAGCAGTGGTTTTCAATAGAGGTCAGTTTTGATCGCCAGGGGACATCTGGCAAGTCTAGAGACATTTTGGTTGTCACAGCTTGAGGGGGTGTTCAGGGGAGGGTTCTAGATACTACTGGTATCTAGGAGATAGAAGCCAGAGATGTTTCTATATATTTTATAATGCACAGGACAGCACACCTCCACTACAAAGAATTATTGGTTCAAAAATGTTAGTAGTGCCAAGGTTGAGAAACTCTGATATAGAAGGAGTGATAAATATTGTTTTCACCCAAAGGGATCTTTTTTAAAAATGGAGCATAGCAAACATACATGATGGAAGTGTTATTCAGATAACATTAATATTCTGTTGAATTATTTTTTTCTAGTTTAACCATGCTAGAAAAAGAAAAAAAATCTGCAAATTGGCCTATAAAATAGGACTGACATACAAGTAATTTAATTCTCAGAAAGTACTAATTCATTCTGATTATCTTTCATACCTCTGTGCTCCTCTGCACTGATGAAGGCATAATATGATTATACCTATGAACCAGTGTACAGCCTTTTCTGGAAAGAAAATAGTTTTTAGTAGATATGTGATTGCTCTTTGGATTTTTTTCTAATGTTGAACATGCTGGGACTAGCTAGAATGCACATTCCTACTTCCTTTACCAAACCTTTGCATGCTTCCTGCAAAGCACTTACCAAGTGAATTCTCTTGAATGATCAGATATAAGTTTGTATGTACATGTTTGAGGAAAACAATTTAAAGCAAAACCTTTTACTGAGCAGTGTTCTATAGAATTATGACACTAAAACAAAATTGTGGAAGCCCTGAAAGCTTTATAGTCCTGGACATCAAAAATTTTATTTCAGATGATGAATGTTTTGTTTTAATCTTGTCTTATATTACCACGATTGAGATATTTTAGTAACTGAAGGAACATACACAGATATTTGGCAGAAGTTGAGTAAGTAGGGGAAAAAGAGTCCGTGAGTTTCAGTCATTTTCATTGCTCTTTTCAGAAAGATTGTGTTCAGCTAGTAGAAGACTAAAGATGTCGCTGAAGACATCACAGATATTATATTTATCTTTTGGCTTTGTGTACATTAGAGAATGTTGATTATTTTTATACAAAAATACAGCGGGTAATTTTTTTAATCTTTAGATGCCTCTTGTTTGAATGTATGCTTTGTGAATTCTTTGTGTAGTAATGTTTTTAAAAAAAAGATGTTTACTGATAGTTACATGTAGGATTAGAATGTGTAATATAAGGCTCATGTTCCAGACCTACAGTAGCTTGTAGTCTGTGTTACATATTTCTTTATATCACATTTTTAATCATTGGATTAAAGTTTCAAGGAAAGCTAGGTACTCTATAATCAGTTTTCATTTATCAGCAGTTTATCATCATGACAGAATTGTCATATGCTTGACTTTTCCCCTCTTCTTGCAATTTCAAAACACAAATAGAGGCTAAGCATTAGTAAGTGACAGCCCACAGTATGAGGGAGGGAGGTGCAATGGAAATCTTGCCTGGAATTAAAACTTCTCCTAGATTATCCACAATTAATACAACATTTATTATTTGGGGATAGACTCCTCCAGCAGTAATGATTACCTCCCATATTACCTATGGCCTTTAAGGCATCAATTTTGAACTGTGTTGTAGGCTTTCCTTTTATTTACTCGCTCCCATAATAGCAGCCAGTCTGCACTTACTGAAAGCCCTGTGCATACCACTGTTGTAAATATTCAGGAGAGGCTTACAAGAGGGGTTTCTCTTGGAGAATACCATATAATCTTAAATTTAGTCCAGATCTCCTGTTGTCCCCACTCAGAATATAGCCATAAAATGCACTTGCTTTTTTCAAGTGAGTTTTTATTTAAATGGCTTGTTTGCTATCACTTGGTAGTTCTCCCATCAGCACAGCTATTTCTTCCAAGATGATTTAATCATCTTAATTTCAAAGCTTCAGTTATATTTAATGGGTATATAGGCAACACTGAACATCCACCTCTCTTCTGAGTTTTTAAAGCACAGTACGTATATAGTTGGGGAAAATATACTTGTTTTCATATCCTTTCATATTACTGCTAATAGTTTTAGGATTTTGGGGAGAGAGAATGACAAACAGAAAGGGAACATGGAGGCTCTTCCTACTTTTGCTACCTAAGTTTGCATTTTCTGACTTCCTTAAAGTGTTGCACTCTGTCCCATTGGGATAAAAAAAACCGTAAGTTTGAAATTTTGCTTTAAGCCTTGTGTTCCTAGGAAAGTTAAACAACTAAGAGAGCTGGTTTGTAAAAATTATTTTTTATATGACATTAACATTCATTAAGCCTTGTGTAGGCATGTGTGAGAGACAGCTATGCAGCTTTGAATAGTCTATATAATATGAGATAGAGTGTTGTCTCGAAACTTGTCACTTTTTAATTAGCATATTATTATTTCCCTGATGGTACTGTTATTTTGCTGTTGAATGCTCTAAACAGAACTTTTTTAAAAGGTGCGGTTTAAGAGCAGTCACCCAGGAGTAGACAAGGTGGAATGGGAGGAAAGAAATGGTAATGCAAAAGCTTGAGAATGGGAAGAGCCAGAGGCGGCTGCCATCATCCTTGTTAGCTTAGCCCACTTCAATACCGAGCACATTTCTGCACTTTTGAAGTGAATATTCATGTTTTACTTAGAAATAATTTCCTTTTATTAGGTATCCCACTGTTGATTTTTGTTTCCTGGTATATCAAAATTCTTAGAACCATATGAAACATAGTTTAACATATAGTATTATTGTGACTATGCCTTTGAATAATTTTTGACATAGCTTATCTTCATCGATCAAGTATAAAATGATAATGAGACACCTCTTCACAAATACATGTCTTAGATTGAATTGAAATGGTTATAGTACCCTGTCTCCCACTGACTTGTTCAGTTCAATGTCTTTACTACATTATGTACATCTTCAGGCTTTTGGTAACACAATGGCACAAGTATGGTAGGGAGGAAATGTAGTCTTAGGCTGTATAGCTATATTAAGTGTGTATAAACAGTTTTTGAAAGAATACACTATTACAGATGTATGTGAATGATGCTGACCTCACAGCCATATCCAGTGGATGAAACTGACTGGACACAATGTTAAAATGTTTTAAAGATATATTTTCAACCAGAACAGCCTGATTATAGTTTGTGGTTTAAAGATTCTTACCTTGGTTGAATTGCAGGAACACGTGCAGCCTACGGGCATTGAGCATTAGCTAATGGCATGAAAGGGCCTCATCTCACTACCACTCTGAGGCCTCTAGCTCCAAGAAAACTGCATAAAAACTTATTTCTTTGAGATATCTTTGTCTCAAAATCCTTAGAGAGGATTTTGTATTGGGGATAACTTTAGGAAGGGAGGTAGCTGGGGCAGGACTTTCTGGTACCTGACAGTCATGTTCCAGAGCAACCTCTGGGCAGTGGAAACTGGCCCATCTGTGCAAAATATTTGCTCGATCTGTTTCTTGTGTGCCACATACGTAAAGCGGGGCCCTGAGGAAGGTTTTCTAGAGGGAAGTATAGGGAAATAGAGGAGGAGACAAGTAGGAGGAACAAAGCATTTCAGACCCAAGAAGATAGAGGTTATTTAGGATAGATACGGCTTTCATCCACAGTTCAAAATAATACATTTTAGTTGTTAGATGCCAGTTATAGCAATACGTAGGTTATAGTTTTTATATGTCAGGAAATCAGACTCATTCTTTCACTCTCTATACCCACTGTCTCCATGCTTAGGAGCCTGGATATTAATAGCTACAATGATATATAAGTTAGTGATTTTTGATTTCTGAAAAAGGTAGCAGCCTTTTATTATAGTTGGAGAATATTTGTCAAAAATTCAAAGGTTGTTAAAATTGAGATGCCAGAATGATACCACAGTTGAATCACCTCTGTAGCTTGTTACGGAGAGGCATTTTAAGGTATTTTATTTGTTAGGTTGTGTCTCCGTCTAAGAATTGGGAAAAGTAAGAGCTATAGGTTTCATTTTCCTAGTCTGGATTTCAGTAAACACAAGCCTACCTCTGCTGCTTTCGTGCACAGCAGTGTGGATCATGAACTGTTTACCCACATTCATCAATATTGGTATTTTATAAATCTACTTAGAGCATTTTTATTTCATCTCAAAGATTGTGATCTAATTTAGATAAGCACAAATACAGTATTAGGAAAAGTAAATATGCAGTCTTACTAACATTTAATTTCAACATGTTATGCTGTATATCTTTTTAAAAAATTATTTGGGGCTACCTGTGGTGGCTCACACCTGTAATCACAGCACTTTGGGAGGCCAAGGCAGGTGGGTCATCTGAGGTCAGGAGTTTGAGACCAGCCTGACCAATATAGTGAAACCCCATCTCTACTAAAAATACAAAAATTAGCTGGGCATGGTGGCGTGCATCTGTAGTCCTAGCTACTTGGGAGGCTGAGACAGGAGAATTGCTTGAACCTAGATGACGGAGGTTGCAGTGAGCCGAGATCACGCCACTGCACTCCAGCCTGGATGACAGAGCGAGACTCCGTCTCAAAAAAAAAAAAAAAAAAAATCTTTGGGAAGATAGGTCCTCTTTTGTTAGAAATTCATAAAATGTGTCCTTATATAGTTTTGTTCACAGCAGTTATATAAGCTTTCTTCAAATAAAAACAGTTTAGATTACCTTATTTGGAAAAAGAATTTCCTAAATTTTTAGGAATTTTCAATGTTTTACATATTAGTTTTTAGAACCTAATCCATTTTAAAATTGTACTATGAGAAAGCCTTTTTTGGAAAGTCATAAAGCATTAATACAAATATAATTATTACTATCACATTCCAGAGAAAATATGGCTTTTTCTAAACTTTCAATTTAGAAAACACACATTAAAGGGGAATCCCTGCCCTCCTTTTCAGCTCTGAAGACCAGCTTTTCTAATGCACACTCCTCCATTCTACTCAGACACATGCACAGACCCCTTCCAAGTGTCATGTTTATAGGAACTTTTGGGAAATGTTTTCCACAGATGTTTTATTTTTTCCCTTTTATAGTTTGTTGACATTTAATTTTATTTAAAGATGACAATTTTAATCTGAAATGTTAAAGAAGAGGTACAACATAATGAGGTTCTAGCTAGCTTTATACTTTGGAAAAATATTTTTTTTCTACTGCTTTTTACAAGTACCAGTCGTCAGTGATACTGGTGGTCTTCAGTATGAATCCATAGAAAGAAAACAAAACATGTTGTTTAAAAGAAGCAGAGTAGGGAATGAATTTTAATTTGGGAAAAATCAGTATAATTTAAAAACACTATTACACTAACATGGCAAGGTGTTAAAGAGTAAGGTAACAAGTACTTTTAGAGCACCTGTTTAAATTTACTCCAGTAGTCATCTTAAGGATTGATAGTTACCATCATTTATTGGCCTAAAAGTTATATTTCATGGAATATTATCAGTGTTAAATCCATGCTTTGTGGAGCTTTAACTGACAGTGGTGAAAAAGGTGGTGTTTATGAGAGAGTGGTGAGGCATCTCATCATTAGTGAAGTTAAACATCGACCTGTTTTTAGAATTTTTTAGTCTTGCCTCAAGTAAACCAGAAGTATCTAGTGTTTAAATCTTTAAAATGCTTCTCTTAAAAGTATTTTTTGTTTTGGGTAGTGTTAAATAATCAGTAAATAATCTACTTCAGTAGTAAATAATAGATGAATTAAGATGATGAGTAAGGATACAACACACTGGTTTGGCGACTGGGGTTTTAGTTCAGTGGGTTAGCTCTGTGTGACATGTTGAGCAGTTACTCGGCTTTTTTAACAGCTTCCAGATACACCATATGGCGCCTGTACTATTCAAATGTTGATTTTGGTTTAATTCCTCTTTAAGGTACGTCCCAGGTCTAAAACTATGATTGTAGGCCATGTAATGGGGTTGCTCTTACTTTATTCTCTTTCCCTTTTTAAGGGTTTATTTTATACTTACTAAGCATCCATTTCTTGGTTCACCTAGAATCTTTGTTCTCCTAAGAATTAAAGTAGAAAATTCATACGTAACAAGCAAATGAGGACATTTTCCTAAATTCTCCTTACTGGTTAGCTACTGAATATATGAACACATATGAATATTGTCATTCAAGTATTTATATTCATTTAGCAAACATTTGAACACTTATATGTGTAGTGTGTGGTATCCATGACTTGAAGAACTAGTAATTACTAAGTAATATTTTCCCCAAAAAATTCATTGTGGCTTAAATAAATATGGACATAATCACTACTTAACATACTGAGAGGGAATCTTAATAAACTTGGAACTGGGAGGGAATATTTTTATGCATTGGGTAAAGGGTTAGGCTAGATGATATCTAAGGGGTCTGAGTGAATCATATCGTAATTTTTATAACACAGTACACATGCTAAACACCAATTGGCCCTATACCTGATTAAGTTACAAAATTAAGGAGACTTAACATTAAGGACTTCACGTGTTGACACTGTGGTGACAGCCCATATTTCATGGCATTATTTTGACACTTGAATCTGTTCCAGAGTCGTTGCTATACAAGGCATGTGGCAGAACAAAAAAAAGCTAGTGTTGATATTGTACGTTTTTAACTACAGCTTTTTTTTTTTTTTTTTTTTGAGACAGTTTTGCTCTGTCATGCAGGCTACAGTGCAGTGGTGCAATCTTGGCTCACTGCAACCTCTGCCTCCCAGGTTCAAGTGATTCTTTTGCCTCAGCCTTCTAAGTAGCTGGGATTACAGGCCTCTACCACAGCACCTGGCTAATTTTTCTATTTTTAGTAGAGACAGTGTTTCACCATGTTGGCCAGGTTGGTCTCGAACTCCTGACCTCAACTGGTTCACCTGCTTCAGCCCCGGAAACTGCTGGGATTACAGGCGTGAGCCACTGCGCACCCGTCTAACAGTGTAGTAACTTTCTAAAACTGAAAAATCTCAAAGTAGATCACTGGAACAGACGTGTTCATTGATACTTTGTTTTTAAATTAAGAAAGATTACACTAAATAAAAGTTAACTGTATTTTAAGCTGTTATAAATATCCACCTTTTAAAGATATGTAAGAACAAGTAATATTCTAGAAAGCACATATATTATGTAGTAAAAGGGCATCCTTTAAAATGCAGAACTGGTAAACATAAAACAGTTCCATGCTTGAATTGGTTAGTATCTGGGGGGTAAATATTGAACGGGAGAATCATTTATTGGGTTAAGGGTCCATTCCTGTCACTCTGGGATGCTGTGAACCACATTGTAATTCCTGTTGACACAGCTTTACATATTAACATCAGTTGATACTAACATTCTCCATAAAGATACAGTATGAAAATATCTATTAAAAAGTCTGTTAATCATTTTCGCAGTTTTTGTTTTGAGACGGAATCTCGCTGTCACCCAGGCTGGAGTGCGGTGGTGTGAGTGCTCACTGCAACCTCCGCCTCCCGGGTTCAAGCGATTCTGCCACCTCGGCCTCCTGAGTAGCTGAGATTGCAAGTGCACGCCACTACACCTGGCTAATTTTTTGTAGTTTTTAGTAGAGATGGGGTTTTACCATATTGGCCAGTCTTTGTTTTTCCTATAGGGGAAAAAGTTAAAATAAGTTCCAAAAAGTATCCTAAAAGTAAGGATTGTGCTTGTAATAAAGGTTGGATAGGTGGGTACTGACAGTGGTGGCAGGAATTTCAAGCCTCTATTAAATTAGTACTTTGTCTTTTAATTAAAATTTTGTTAATTTTAACAAAGACCAATTGTTGTGATAAACTGGTGTTTTTTTGGATACTTCAAGCACATGTTAACCGGTTTTTTAAATTCCTCCTTTTGGTTCCTCCCATTGTTCTAAAATAGAACTTTCATATTATTAAAACCTCAAAAGATGATCCACCCAGGATGAACAAAGATCACCAAGGGGAAAGAAAACATTTTTTATCTTTACAGATAACAAATGTTAAGATTATATATAGATGTATTCTCTACATTGGATATTGTATTAGAATCCTCCTTACAAGAAATGGAATAGTTTTTAGCACTCTTAGGATTAGAGTTCCTAGATTGGTGTTGATAGCTACAGTTTTAAAATGTATAACCTGAAAATGAAGGTTAATTTTGCATTGTAAGAGCACATTTGATCTATGTAAAAAGTGTCCATTTGGTGTATTTTTTTAAAAAAGAGAAAGCACTTTCATATTAAGTAGCATGTGTATGAATTTAGATTTTCATATTTGTTGTGTCTGTATTCAGTGAGGTAATCAATGTTTGTTGATGGCAACATTAACTATTAAATTAAAGCACCTTATACTCTGCTGCTTAACTTGCTTGTAATTGCACCTTTGTTACCTGCACATTTTCATATAGAATATTGTTAACATTGCTTCATGTGGGTCTGGATGGAAGATTAGTGGGCCTACAGGATCATTTATTTATATTGTTTATATTACAATAATATATTGTAGACCAGTTGTAAGTTCATTTCTTTACAAATAAAAGCCTCTTCCATTTGGCTGGTCTATGCAATAATTTTTTTTCTTTAAGCTTATGAGACATGGGGAATCCTCTGTGTAAACAAAAGCTCAGTGAGATTTGAAATGGTTTTAAAATCTGATTTAAAATCTGCAGAGTATAAGTCTTTACTAAGTTCAATATATTTAAACATATTTCAGTCCCGTATTCGGCCAACAACTAGAAGGCAATATATTTAGAGGAGAAAGTAGCAGAAGGAAAGAGGGCCAGGTTTAAATGTTCTAAACTGTTTAAATACACCTTGATGTTCCCTCAAACATAGGATTACTTATCCTAAACTTTGTCTCTCATTTGGTTTTTATAGAATAATGTCATTTTTATTCTTGTTTTCTCTTAAGTATTTTTTAACAGTGTACCAGCCATTATAGTGGTTCTTTCTCTTCCCTGCCGTGTCTTCTGTTAACAGACCCTGATCATAGAGAGGTGGACATATGACTGAAGTCAGGTTGAACAGTCATTCCCTGGGACTGTATATTTGAAGTTAGGAGATGCTTTAAGTTGGAATTACAAAAGCCCTGAGATGCTGGCAGCCAGAACACCCACTTTGTGGACACAAAAAATGGAAACTGACAACTCAGAGAGATTCTCCTGGTAGTTTACCAAGTTGTTTCCAGTATCCAGCTTGCTCTTAGAATGGCTCAGGGTGAGTGTATTACATGCAACTCGAAGAATTCCTGACTGTCCAGCAGCATTTCAACTTGTCTTTATAGATGGGTAGAGCTAATTAAAAAGACTTATTCATTATAGCCCTATAAAGCCATAACATGTTCATGGGCATTGGATATTTTCAAGTGAAAAATAACAAACAACAGTCTTCACATTTGACTCTGAAACAACCTATTCTTTTGAGAACAGTCAGTGGCACCAATGAAAGGCAGTGTAATATAGTGGCAAAGAGCAAGAACTCTGGACCAGAATTCTGGTTTTCCATCCCAGCTTTCCCAATGTCTAGTTGTATGATGGTGAGTTTCTTAATTTTGATGTTTAAATTTCCTCATGTGTAAGAAGGGGATGATAACAGTACCTGTCAGAGTTGCTGTGTGGATTAAATCAGTTGCTGTAGACAGAACACTTAAGACAGTACCTGGCACACAGGAAACATTTCCTAAATCTTTTTGCTATTATTCGTGTTCCATAGCACTTGTTATAGGCATTTTTTCAAATAATGGGAAGAAACTATTTGTGGATCATAAACTTAATTTTGTGGATCACAACCAGCATTTAAAAAATGACACCAAAAAACATTTGCATGAATTTGCATCATATGTAAGGGTAAGTATTGACATGTAAACATGTACATATTAATCTGAGTCATGTTAAAAATCTTTCCATAAATATAAAACCACAAATTTAGAAAAAGCTAGGTTTAGATTTATGTAATATAGTATTTATAAATGGTGATTAAAATATCTATATAGCTTAGTTCCTAAAGTAACTTAAGATTATTCTGCCAGTCATATTGTTTTACTCCAGTGAAGCAACTCTGCCCATCCACTGGGGCAGGTCTGGCCATGTCTGAAGACATTTTTGATTGATTGTTTCTAGTGGGCGGAGGGCAGGGATGCTGCTCAAGTGCCCCACAACAGAAAATTAACCAACCCCAAATGTCTGTCAGTAGTGCCGAGGAATGTCTGCTTTTACGTGTGATGCATTGCCAATGCGATTATGATGTGACATGCAAGTATTTGATATATAAGTTATAATATGAAAATGAATCTGCTGAGTCATGGAAAGAGACCTAGCCACTACTCCCAGTTCTGTAAGGTGAGCAACCAAAACTCTCTTCTTCCGGGAACATTTGCATTAAGAACAGAGATACACTTTTTAAAATTAGCTAAATTTAAAATGAGCTAATCTTCCTCTTACATTGAACTTTATACCAAATCATTTTAAGAGCAGTTTTTATTTTCTTGCTGTCATTTGAACATTTAATAAAAATGTTTATTTAGGTTGATACCTTAAAGTGGTCAGTGAAATCTCAGATTTACATCCAGTAGTTTTTTGGGGTAACACAAACATCAGTATAGCCAAATGTTAACTCATTTCACTTTTCGTGTTAATAACAAATTAATATAGTGTCCCTTAATAAGTATAAAAACGTCTTGGAATTCTTTTGTTTTTAAAATAAAACATTCTTTAATAAGTAGTATCATAGCCCCAAAAGACACATTCTGAAAAGGTATCAAAGTTAAGGGGCAAAGCTTTAGTTGAGTTTATTTTTTAGTAAGTCCTGAGTTCTGTTTGTAAAATTATGACCTTGTTATAGCTGTAACTTTTACTTCATAATATTAACAAGTCACTATTGATAGAGGTTTTTCAGTTTGCTCAAAATTAGGAATTGTAAGTGGAATGAAGCAGCACTTCCAGTTGACAAATGGGTCCAAAGGTAACTCGATGTCTCTTAAATTAAGTTTGTGACAATTAAACCAATACACTGTAGCAATGAGAAAACTGTTAACAAAGTACAACCAGGGTATATTCATCTCAATATATGCTGGAATCTGTGCTTTAAATAAAAGAATGATTACCTGAAGTAGTACAAATGGTAACCAGGTACCGAGAAAACAGACAGTGAGCTTGGATAAGAATATTTTTTTATATCTCACAGTATAACTGGAGTGGGATGAAAAAGGAAAATATAAGATAGTTTCGTTCATATAGGAAGTTATCTTAACAGCCTGTACCAAAGTAGTAACTTCTTCCCAAGAGGTTATGAAAGCTACAAGTAAAATCATCACCATGAAAAATGATATCCAGTAACTCTGAATGCTGACATAGAAAGGACAGTGATGAGAATAAGCATTCTGTGGCTTCAGGCTTTGGTAGATGGTTGGATCTCCCAAAACATAAGCAAGGACTGAAATCCAAATTAAAATTACTGTAAAGAAATAAAACAATTTTTGACACTTAAATGAAAGCTTGGTTGTTTTAGAGAAACTCAGGCAATAATCTATACAAGCTATCAGGAAAACTGGATAATGCAAAAAGCCATAAGTTAAGGAAATAATTTCAGTAAATAGACAGATGTGGTATTTAGTAAATCTAATGCTTAAAAGTATGAAATCCCTGAAATACAATAAAATGGAAATGTTTACCAAAAGTAAAAAATCAACGAATGCTAGTGAAATGCAAAAATATTCCATAAAATTTTGACAGGTGTTTTTTCTTCTCATTACTAGTGTGAGAATATTTAATAATATTTTCCCAAGTATGATCAAGAATAGCAGACAGTTGATATCTAGGGGCTGGTTTGTTTGATGTAACTGGTACTGAAAAGAGCAGTTCTCTGAAGAGAGAGCAGTCATATTTTCAGTTAAATTTCAAGAAGACCTGCTGAAATGCACATAAAACATGGCTTCCTTTATTTTCCATCCCTGCAAAAAAAAAAAGTGAAAAGAAAACCTTAATGTAATCTATTTTGAAACTTTACAAAGCAGGCACCACTATTCTAAAAATTCTACTTCGATCATTTCCCCAAGTGGTTAAATATATGAATAGGAGGTACATGTCTCATAATACTTACAGAATACAGAACATAAGAAGAATCAATGTGTATACTTTGGTCATTTTTTTGAGACCCAGATGGTCTAGAACTCAGATTTTTAAAACAAAATGTTATATATAAATTACTAACTTCTATATATAAGTACAGGTTTTAACAACTTACAGGGAGAGAAATAATTTTATCTACCACAGCCAAAACTCATGCTTAAAATAGAAGCTTGGTAGCAATACGCAGAACCACCACATAGAGCTTTTAACCCCGCCTCACTCTAACTCAGACAACATGACCCCAGTTCCCTTTTTTGTCCATTTAGAGGCTATGCTTATGGGGCCCCTTAACACAATTTCAAAGCTTTTTAGTTGCAGAATCCTTCAGATTAAATCTTTCCCTGAAGCTCTGAAAACAGGTAGTTTCAGCTGAAAATAATGGGAACATAGGTAAAGGAAAGAAAAGGATTTATCTTCTGGATATGGTCTTACAGGTATGGCATGTGGAGAGACAGGAGAATACAGGGAAGGAACAGGGACTCAGTATGGAGACATGAGAACATTAGGAAGCGGTAGGTAAAGGCAAAGGAACAGGAGTTGAGGCTTCAGTGATAAATGCATTTGAAAGCAGGAAAACAAGATTATGATGAAAGGAAGGAAATTCAGGAAACACAGGCTTAAAAAAAACTGAGTTGACCCAAACTTTTAATACTATTCAATCCAATATTTATCAATGACAACAACAGCAAAAACTCAAAAATGACAAGACAACAAACCCAACCACAAATGTCAACAACTGGAAATGGGTTCAGAACAACACAGGTTGGCTGGGCGTGGTGGCTCTTGCGTGAAATCCCAACACTTTGGGAGGCCAAGGCGGGAGGATGGCTTGAGCCCAGGAGTTGGAGACCAGCTTAAGCAACATAGGGAGCTGCCTCTACCCAAAAAAAAAAAAAAAAAAAAAAAAATTACCTGGGCATGGTGATGCACACCTGTGGTTCCAGCCACTTGAGAGGCTGAGGTGGGAGGGCTGCTTGAGCCTGGTAGGTCAAGGCTACAGGGAGCCACTGAACTGCAGCCTGAGTGACAGAGCAAGACCCTATCTCAAAAAAGAAACAAAACACAGGTTGAGTATTCCTTATCAGAAATGCTTGGGACCAGAAGCATTTTGGATTTTGAATGCATCCCTAATCCCAAAATCCCAAATCCAAAATCACTTTTTTTTTTTTTTTTTGAGACGGAGTTTCGCTCTCGTTACCCAGGCTGGAGTGCAATGGCGCGATCTCAGCTCACTGCAACCTCTGCCTCCTGGGTTCAGGCAATTCTCCTGCCTCAGCCTCCTGAGTAGCTGGGATTGCAGGCATGGTCAGCTAATTTTTTTTTTTTTTTGTATTTTTAGTAGAGACAGGGTTTCACTCTGTTGACTATGGTCTCGATCTCTTGACCTTGTGATCCACCCGCCTCGGCCTCCCAAAGTGCTGGGATTACAGGCTTCAGCCACTGCGCCCGGCCCAAAATCACTTTCATTTGAGCATCATGGCAGTGCTCAAGAAGTTTTGGATTTTGGAACATTTCAGATTTTTGGATTAGGGACACTCACCCTGGATATGGTAATCTTTACATATGCAGCCATTTAAAAATTGTTTCTCTGGACAGAAGGGAGACTTCGTTTTCATATTTTTCACTCTACCTTCACTTAAATTTTAAGCCTTGTGTATTTGGTACATGTTAAAGTCATGATAAATTTCTACAGTACATTAAGTGAAATGCAGGTTACAAAATTATGCAGCAACGTGTCATGTAACAAATACATAGAAAAAGGCTAAACGGTACATAGGAAGTTATCAATACAGTAGTAGTATACTGTTTCTCAAATTTTAAGGAAAAAAATGGAATATTGATTCTGAAAACTGAAAAAATTAAATTTGCCTAAAAACGGATCACTGATTATTAATTTTGTCTGAAGGTAAAGAAATCAGTGTGATAACAGTAAAAACATGGAACCAATCCAAATGCCCATCAGTGACAGACTGGATAAAGAAAATGTAGTACATATATACCGTGGAATACTATGCAGCCATAAAAAAGGCAACCATGTTTTACAGGAACATGGATGGAGCTGGAGGCCATCATCCTTAGCAAGCTAATGGCAGGAACAAAAAACCAAATACTGCATGTTTTCATTATAAATGGGAGCTAAATGATGAGAACTGATGGACACAAAGGGAACGACAGACACTGAGGTCTGCCTGAGGGTGGTGGGGGGGAGGAGGAAGAGGAGCAGAAAAGATGACTATTGGGTACTAGACTTAGTACCTGGGTGACAAAATAATCTGTGCAAAAATCACCATGATACGAGTTTACCTATATAACAAATCTGCACGTGTACCCCTGAGCCTAAAATAAAAATTAAAAAATCAGTGTGAGAGAGGGCTATCGGTTTTGATGACAGATTGAACCATTACTCTCATGGCCATATATCTGTCATAAGATAACTTATTAAGGTATACAAGTAATGAATCTACTTAAATGTGTATATGTGTAAAGGCAATTATGAAATACAAAATCTATTTTCATATAAAAGACTCAAACAAATGCTTCCCACACTCAAGTTTTTTCCCCTATATTCAAACATACTACAGTTTAACTTGTTCCTATCTAAAAAAGTTCCATTCCAGATTAGATATACAAGAGCACAGAAATGTAGCTGCCGACGTGACAGATGCCATTGGTCTTACAGGTGGTGTCGCCTGAATAAAGCAGCCAAGATGAGTAAGACCATATGAAGTCTCCCTTGTGCCAAAAACAAAAAAGGCTTAGTTTTAAACAACTAATGCTGGTTTAAAATTAGGGTGAGGAAATCGTGTGGATTCATATTTATAAAGACCCATTTTTCCGAAATGTAACTTTAGGATAAAATAATAGAATCAACTGTCTCACATGATTTTAACCTTTATAACTCCTAAAGTAAGGAAAGTCAAGTCAGGCTGGGGGCCGTGGCTCATACCTGTAATCTCAGCACTTCGGGAGGCGAAGGTGGGTAGATCACTTGAGCTCAGGAGTTCAAGATCAGCCTGGGCAACATGGTGAAACCCAGTCTCTACAAAAAAGAAATACAAAAATTAGTCAGTGTGGTAGTGGGAGCCTGTAGTTCCAGCTACTTGGAAGGCAGAGGTGGGAGGATCACCTAAGCCCAGGAGATTGAGGCTGTGGTGAGCCAAGATCCTGCCACTGTATTCCAGCCTGGGTGCCAGATCGAGACACTGTCGCAAAGAGAAAAGCTAAAGAGGCAAGATCCAAGGGATGATTTCCAAGTTTCCATTTCATCATTGACTCTCACAGGTGGGGCACCTGGAAGATGAGAAAAGCAGGGAGGAGGAGGACCCGGAGGGAGGACCCTTGCGTCTCCCTAAGGGATAAGGAAGGTCCACAGAGGAGGAAGAGAATCAGCCACAGCTACCAAGGCATGAACCAAGAACCTCTTCAGAAGATAACTAGAAGAAAGAAAACATTGCCCAACATGGAATATGTAAGAGAATCATAAAACTAGGAAGAAAAGTAAGACCAGGGAAGATAGGCTACTTGAGGCAACAAAAAGTAAAAGGAAGAAACTGGAAAACAAGACTTTGGCCAACTGACAGTGGTTCCTGAATACCACGATCATGGAAATGAACCAGAGCTTGCTTAGATGAAACCAGTTTTATATACTCTACCCTAATTACCCCATAAACCACCATAAGTGTTCAAAATTCCAATATTTTGTTTTTTAAAACAACTCCCTGGACAACACAGAAATCTGTTGATAAGCTACCCGAATTTTCCCTTGAAAATTGTTCACAGTAAATATAGGGGCTCAGATTTCTAAGATCTGGTCCTTTTCCTGCATGATTTTTAAAACTACTTGTGAATCAACTCTCATGCAACCTGAAAAGTTAATGTGAAAGTCCTTTTCAAAGTATCTTGCTTTACAATCTGGCCCAGTTTGGAGGTATTAGCAGGGCCTCAGGGAAACAAACCATGATTCCTTTTCACTGACCCAGTCTCTGTTTTTCTCTTTGTAACCCAATTAATTCTTAAGAATTTGCATACTTACTCTCCAGTAGGTCTTCCTGGACTGATGATCTTTCTATTTAACTTCAGGTTTACTGCCTTCAATTATGTTATTTTTGGTTCCTTGCATTTCATTTTGCTATACCAAAATGCCATGTGAGTAAGCTCTATGTGAAAGACAGAAAACAAAATGAGACATCATTAAGAGCTATCTTAATAGCCAGAGTCCAGTTAAACTGGTTCCAGATCATTGCTTAGAAAAACCATAACTTTTTGTGAGACTGAAGCCAGTAACTAACTGCTTACATTCTTTGTATCTTCCTTGCAAAAGGAAGGAAGAGGATATTTGGATAGAAAGCACACCAAGATGGAGAGATGGATGCATATACTACATTTATTTAAGAAAATCTTGCTTTATAGCTTTCACCCACAGGATAAAGCACCAGTCCTCCAAGTGTTTGGTTTCAGGATCCTTTGACCCTTGTGGCATGTTAACTAACATAAATAACAAGTTACTCTATTTTACCAAACAATAAAACGAGTGAGCAGAGTGACATTGTTTCACATTTCACAACTTGCTTTTAGTATCTGGCAATAATAGCAGACAGCTGAGTTCTCATCTATACCGGGTCTGTCCTGAAGACCCTGGCTGAGACAGATGAAAGGAGTACTCAGACACAGGTGTGCAGTGTAAGAACAGCTAGGGGGCTGCCCAGCACTAGTGGCCGAAGAGAGCAGCCTCGAACAGCTGGAGCTGCTTGGTTTTATTCAGTGCAGACATAATGCTGGAGCAAACAAAATCTGGGTGTAATTAACATTACTGTTCCCCCTTTCAGGGAGCAGTCACTGGCTCACTTGAATGATCAAAGGTTTGCAACATAAGCAAACAAGCCTATTTAAGATAAATTCCCCTACACTTCCTTGTGCCTACTCCTTGCCCTCTGTCTCAACTCAAGGTCGGAGAACAGCTGCCTTCAGTTTATTCTCCCCCCAAAGCTATGCAGAGCCTTCCAACCTTTCCAAAGGCCCGCTCCTTTCCCCACCACTGTACACATCCACATTTAATCAGCTGAAATACCACACATCATGTAGCTTCTAGAAAGTCATCTGTACATTCATAAGAGTTGGAAAGTTAAAGTAAAAAAACTTCCAAGTGTTATAATCAGTTGTGTTGCACAATTTCATGCAATCTTAGGAAAGTTTAGGAAAACCATGTGCGTTAAACGGGACGGGAGATAAACAGTTAACATGAACACTGGTTTACTGTTGTGTAGAAAGTGGAATTCATACTGCAGTTGTATTTGGTGAGCCTGGTAAGTGGAGAAAGCCTGTGGTAGATAAGCCTTAGCAGGTGTTTTACATACTGTTTTTCTAATTAACAACAGTCATAAAAGGTACATATAATTTTTCCCCGTGAGGAAACAGGCTTATGGTTAATAAGCACATTTCCCTAGGTAAAGTTCAACCTCAAGTCTGACTTCAAAGGTCATGTTCTTCAGTAAGCCACAATTACGGCTTAACTCACAACCAGAAATGTAGAAAAAGACCCAATATATGTAAGTGAAAGTGCTTTCTCAAAAAGCAACATCTGGCCAGGTGTGGTGGCTAATGCCTATAATTGCAGCACTCTGGGAGGCCAGGTAGGGGATCACCTAAGGCCAGGAGTTCAAGAACAACCTGGACAACATGATGAAAACCTGTCTTTATTAAAAATACAAAAATTATCTGGGCATGGTAGCAGATGCCTGTAATCCCAGCTACCCAGCAGGCTGAGGCAGGAGAATCACTTGAACCCGGGATGGGGAGGTTGCAGTGAGCCGAGATTGTTGCTGTACCACTGCACTCCAGCCTGAGCAACAGAGTAAGACTCTGTCTCAAAAAATAACAAAAACATAAAAAAGCAACATCCAAATAACACTAACTGCATTGATTACCGATACACATACAATCATGACTTGACTATCCATTTGGATAACATAATTTTATTCCTCCAAAAGGTAAATATAAACTTTGAGGAGTTTGTATTTGAAATGTGGTCTTTACTTGATATCGCATCCAAATTCAGTGGAAAAAAATAAAACGTCACTCAACTCTGATAATAATGTGCGTTCATTCATTTGCACAGTACAATTATATTCAATGTAGGAAATTAAGAAAATACAGAAATGTTTTTATTGTACTTTTTAAAAAATAGGTTATATAATTTTCATGATGCAAAACTTGAGTGACAGAAGTGTATGACAGTGAAAATGACCTGTGCCACCCAATCCTCCAGCATCCCTACCCTGCCCAGCGCTATCTAGCCCAGTTTCCCTCCCTAGATAACAACCACTAAAACCAGTTATTTCTATATATTTCCAGAGATAGTCTAAAGCAAGGTTTTAAAAAGAAATTTGAAATTTCCTTATTAAGAACTAGCGAGAGATTCTTGATTTGTCCTTTCCTGCCTGATTTTTTTTTTTTTTTTTTAAGAGATGGAGTTTCGCCGTGTTGGCCAGGCTGGTCTCAAACTCCTGACCTCAGGTGATCCGCCTGCCTCAGCCTCCCAAAGTGCTAGGATTACAGGCGTGAGCCACTGCGCCCGGCCTTCCTGTCTGATTTATACGCTGATAAAATCTGATGAAAGAAGCACAAAGGAGAACACAACCAAGAATTAATCAGTGGTCTGCCACATGGAGCAATTCCCGCCAACCCAACATAAGGTTGGTGATAAGGAAGGCCAGTGAGGCCAGGCAGAAGACAGCAAGTAGGGGTTATCCCGGGGTAGGGGATCGGTGATTCTTTTCTCCTTCAGTATAGAATTATAGTGCTCACCCATATGCCTTCTTCTTCTCTGCTGCTACCCATGAAGGATTTTTGTTCTTTGATCCCTACAGTTAATGGGTTATCAGGCCAAAACATTTAATTGCAGATGAGTGGCGCTTCAGTGTTTTCTTCCCCATCATGAGTTGAGGAGTAGGGGAGGCAGTGCAATCCAGATGATACATTACAAGATGGTGAAGCCTCTGTCAACCTGGGCCCTTAAGTGACCGTGGGGAAGCACAGCCCCTGGAGATTCACAATGGGTGTATATTACGAGCAAGAAATAAACCTTTGTTGCATTAAGTCAACAGAATTTGGCCTATCCTGACTAATACCATTCCTTATTATTTAATCTCTATATTCTTGGAATTTTTTTTTGAGATGGAGTCTCTGTTGCCCAGGCTGGAGTGCTGCGATGTGATCTTGGCTCACTGCAGCCTCTGCCTCCCAGGTTCAAGTGATTCTCCTGCCTCGGCCTCCTGAGTAGCTGGGATTACAGGTGTGCGCCACCATGCCCGGCTAATGTTTTTTGTATTTTTAGTAGAGATGGGGTTTCATCATGTTGGTCAGGCTGGTCTCGAACTCCTGACCTCGTGATCTGCCTGCCTTGGCCTCCCAGAGTGCTGGGATTACAGGTGTGAGCCACTGCACCTGGCCCCTTTGAAATTTTTTTTTTAACAGCCGGACGCAGTGGCTCACGCCTGTAATCCTAGCACTTTGGGAGGCCGAGGTGGGTGGATCACCTGAGGTCAGGAGTTCAAGACCAGCCTAGCTATCATGGTGAAACCCCATCTTAAAAAAAAAAAAATTTAAACAGCATGTATTATTTATGTTACCAGGGAAAAAAAAGCTACAGTAGAAAAAATACTTTTAAAAAGCCACAATACAAATGTAAGAATATTGGTAAAAAGTCAAAATTCAATTTTAATTTTTAATATATTTGTAAAAGTCGTTGTATTTTGCATTTTTCATTCTGGTATTCTTTTGTTTTTGTTTTTAGAGATGGAGTTTTGCTCTTGTTGTCCAGGCTGGAGTACAGTGGTACAATCTCCCCTCATTGCAACCTCTTCCTCTCGGGCTCAAGTGATTCTCCTGCCTCAGCCTGTCTAGTAGCAGGGATTACAGGCATGCACCACCACGCCCAGCTAATTTTTGTTATTTTTAGTAGAGACAGGGTTTCACCATGTTGGCCATGCCTCAGCCTCCCAAAGTGTTGGGATTACAGGTGGAGCCACTGTGCCTGGCTCTCTTTTGTTATTCTTATATTTGCCTGGTTTCAAAAAGAAAGGCTCAATTCGATAACCTAAATTTAAGCTTTAAGGAAAAAAGTGAATTAAATCCAAAGTAGGTTAAATGGAGGACATTTAAAAAAAGCAGAAATCAACAAAATTAAAACAAAATAAGGTAGGTGCAGTGGCTCATGCCTGTAATCCCAGCACTTTGAGAGGCCGAGGTGGGAGGATCACTTGATGCCAGGAGTTTGTCACCAGGCTGGGCAACATGGCAAAACCTTGTCTCTACCAAAAAATACGAAACTTAGCTGGCGTGGTGGTGTGTACCTGTGGTCCTAGCTACTTGGAAGGCTGAGGTGGGAGGCTCGCTTGAGCCTGGAAGGTGGAAGTTGCAGTGAGCCAAGATTGTCCTACTGCACTCCAGCCTGGGAAACAGAGCAAGACCCTGTCTCAAATAAGTAAAGTATATCAAAAACAACAACAACCCCAAAACAACAGAAAGAAAATCAATGATACAAAACTGGCAAGAAAAGAAGAACCAGTAAAATTCATAAACCTCTAGCCAAATAAAGAAATTACCAAAGTTAGGAAAGTGAGTACCTAGAAACATTTAAAGAGTAAGGAACTATTTTGAACAACTTTATTCCAATATGTTTATATGATGAAACAGACAAATTTCTGGAACGATACTACCGAAACTCCTTCCAAAAGATTCCTAAATATCTCCATCAAAGAAACAGTCCGGGTGCAGTGGCTCATGCCTGTAATCCTAGGACTTTGGGAAGCTGAAGCCAGTGGATCACTTGAGGTCAGGAGTTCAAGACCAGCCCTGCTAATATGGTGAAACCCCATCTCTACTAAAAATACAAAAATTAGCCAGGCATGGTGGCTTGGGCTGTAATCCCTGCTGCTCCATCCAGAGACTGAGGTAGGAGAATTGCTTGAACCCTGGAGGCGGAGGTTGCAGTGAGCTGAGATTGTGCCACTGCACTCCAGCCTGGGTGACAGAGTAAGACTCCATCAAAAAAAAAAAAAAAAAAAAAAAAAAAATCGAATAAAGGAACTGATTTTGTATTTAAAACCTACCCTCAAAGAAAATACAGGATTCTATCAAGCATTTAGGGAAAAAATAC